GCACAAAACTAGAATCACTACCAGAATCGATCAATATGCTAACCCATTGACCATGAAGTTTTCCCCTAATGATGATTGACCTTTTCTCCCGACTGCCCTTAATAGCATTTAGACAAATGTGCCTTACATTTTCTTCCACCAGCTCTCCTTCGTTTATTTCATAGATCTCCATGTCACTGTTGTCCATTTCTCCTTCCTCAGTTAACATATAGTAAACCTTAGGACATTGATGACCATGTCCAAACTTCTCCCCACATTTATAACAAAGGTTATGGTTTGTTTTGTACTGCACTTCTCAGGGAGTAATCCTCTTGAACTGATTAAAGGGAGTCTTCTTGTTGTCTCTTCTCCAGGTGGCCGGAGGATTCTGATTTCGATTGGTGGTTGGTGTTGGCTTGTGTACGCTGGGATTGATAACCTTGTTCCTCCTCAGAATTTCAACATTCTGCTCCTGATAGATAGAGGAATCCATCACCTGTTCCAGACTCAACGGGTTCATCATCTTTACCATGGTTCAGATTTCCTCTTTAAGCCCGCTGAAAAAGCTAGATACGAAGTATATATGATTCAAGAAGATTGGAATTCTTCCTGATCATTTTTGTTTTAAGATCTTCAAAGCTGTCTATATAATCCAACACACTTCCTGTTTGTTAAAGTTTGTTGAACTCCTCCACTTCATCCCTTTTTCCTCTCAGTTCGTATCTACGAATCAAAGCCTCCCTAAAATGCAGCCAATTGATCTTCCTTCCATCCAGATTAAATACCTACCAAACTTCTGCTTTCCCTTCCAAGTAAATCTCCACTGTTTCCACTTTAAATTCATCATAAATTTGGTGCAGATTAAAATACTTTTGACACTTACGAATTCATTCCCTTGGGTTATCCCCTGTGAAGACACTGAGTTCCACCTTTGGTTGCTGAATTAGCGGAGCTCTGTTGGACCACTCCCTTATGAACGTCGGAGTTTCATCGGAGACCACCATCCTCGGAGGTGTGCTTGGAGTGGGAAATAATGCTGGTTTACTGGCTGAAAGATTGGAGCTTTTTCCCTTATAAGGTTCTTTCCCTTTCATTGCAGTTTGAATCGTCTGGAGTATGCTCGTGATTTGGTTCAACTGTTCCTGCATCACCACTTGATTTTGCTGGACCAAGACCACATTTTTCTCTAACTCCATCGTTCTTCCGTCGATTTTTTTGAGCTGTTCTTCCATGGAGTTCGACGTTTTGATCTGGTGTTATCCTCCATGAATTTCGATGAGAATCACCGGCTCTGAGATACCAATTGTCAATGTTAAGGCCCTTTTTTAGATTTTTAAATTTCAGAAAACAGAAGATAAGAAATAGAAATTGGCAGAAGAGGAGAATTTGGAATTCTTGGAGAGAAAGTAATTTCGAGGATGAAAAAGATTTCGATAAATATTCAATAATGATAATCCTTCTACAATTCCAACCTTTAGAAGGAAAATATCCAGCTAAATGACAAATCTAGGCACCTTCTAGGAAAAAGCATAGAGTGAGGAAACTTCTAGGAAACTACATAATTCACGTTAATTTAACTAAAAAACAGAAAGCAGCAAAAACGACACCGTCACTCAATTGATTAAACCTAATTCCCAAATTGAGTCCCAATTTCATAATTTAAACTTCCCACCAAAATCCTGTTGTTCATGACAGAATCTGAGTTCTGGGCTGCTCTTTTGAGCTTAAAAATGACAAAGCAATTGGGCTTCACCAGAGTACAACAACAAATGGACAGCGCCAAGGCTGTTAAAAGCCTCACGGATGCGACGGATATGGACCATTCAAGCAATGTCCTTAGTTGTATTTGACATCTTATAGAACGGAACTGGTCAATAGAGGTTTCTTTTATCGGTCGTAATGGGAACGAAGTAGCCGATTCCCTATCTAAATTAGGCTTATCAGCCCCTCCGGGTGTGCATATTTTGTCAACGCCCTCGAGTAGAATCCTAGACAAGCTAAATTTTGATATATAACTCAACCTCGATGAGTTGTATTAGAACCCAAGCGTAAGATTTCCCAACATTAAAAAAAAAAATTGAAATTCGGACTTCTTGGAGGCATATTATTACAAGGAGACATCGGATGGAGGTTAGGAACTGGAATTTGTTGTGTGGAATGATCCAATCATTAGATTACAAATTCTACCACCGTCAAGGTAACACGTCGGTGCCGGAGAATCTCAATGTAGTGGCGGAGCCACCATAGTTCCCGGAGGGGTCCCGGCCAGCCGGAGAAGCCCATAAGGCTACCTCTGGCTAAGGGCTTGGTGGCTCTGCCTTTAAGTCTCAGCCCCCTCGGTTACGGGAGTGAGGGGGGGTTCGAAGAAGAAGAAACTCAATTTGGTTTTATCAAGTTCTGAATCTGTCGTTGGGTAGTTGCAGAATTGGAGCGCCGGAAATGGAGGAAGAAGACAACCTGATTCAAAGTTTTAGAATTGTTTAATTTGGTCCCTCCTGTTTATAAACATGGCTTAAAATACTCCCATTTACTTAAAAACTCCAAACTTTGCACCTTGGCTTTCTAAAAATTATGAAATGATTTTACATCGAAGGGGTTTTTTTTTTTTTGTATTTTCCCAAAACTAATTAATTTTGTGCATTTATTTATTAGTTTGATAATGTTTTAAATTACATTATTTCTTTCAACATAAAGTTCTTTTTACACTGATTGGGGATCGCCTCTAAACTTTAAAGTCTTGTAGACAGCGAACCCCCCGACTCTTAAAACCTAGTTCCGCCACTGTCCCAACGGACAACAGTGGGTGATTGTTTTTTTCCAATGAAATAATAAAATAGGACAGTGCTTGACGCAAGAGTAGCATCCATTATGCAAGGAATACAGATACATAAATCCATCACGATTATTTTAAAGTTTGAATGTTTTTTTTTCCCTCGTGTCATATTACGCGGTGAAACAAAAATAGTACTGGATAATTTTTTTTTTTTTAATACTGGGAAAATTTACGCTTGGGTTACAATACAACTCATCGAGGTTGAGTTGATATGTCAAAATTTGTGAATAAAACATAATAGTATTGAGTAAGAATTCAAATTTATTACCATCCAAAATAAAATAATTAGATTTTTTTCTAGCACGTGTCATGTGTGTAACAGAGACGTAATGGGATAGGATCAAAGTTTGTTGAAAGCAATTATAAAATTTGGAGCCAAAGACTTTTTGGCCACTTTTAATTGCTACACTTTAACATTCATTTGTAGTAATTTTTTTTTTTTTAATTTTTCCGTAAAGATTCATCCAATCGGCAAGTATGAAATCTTCATCAGGATATGTTTTGTGGAACTAAGCAGTGATTCATCGTAAAATTAGCTAAATATGAGTTTGAAACAAAGTTTTTATAAAAAGTGAGGCCAATCAAATCTAATAGTGAGTTAAGGATCTTTATAATCGGTATAAGACACTCTTACAAGAAATTGGGTAGTTTTTTTTTTTTTTTTTTTTGAAAAAATTGAAAAGAAATTGGGTAGTTATTCATCCAACAATGGGAAAAAAAATATGAGTTTTATAAAAGAATTCAGAAGAAGAAAGTGGCGCGACCCAAATCTAATAGTGGGTCTTGTAGCATCGAAAAATGCACGGTGATTTATCAATGTGAGATTTGAAGTAACACGTCTATACTCATATAAGCTCACGTGTGGTTTCAATGAGGGAAATAACATATGAAATATAAATATTGATCAAATTATCTTTCCAACTTTAATGAGAAACAAAGGAACTTAGGCATATCTTAATATTATTATCAACAACACGAACCAATTTTAATGGTTGTTAAGGTTCCCTATCAATAGAGGTCATTTTATCGGAAATTAAGTAGTGGTTCATGAATATCATTAAGTGACAAGAACCAAATCCAATAGTAAAATTAGAAAGGTTTATCAGTAGCCGAAAATTGGATAGTGTGTGTGACTCATCGATCAATCAGCCAAATGTGAGCTTAATAAACCAAAAGTTCACAAGAAGAAAGTGACTGTACCCAAATCCTTTAATAGAGTTTTCAAGAAAAAGGGTAAAGAAATCCACAAAAGAGTAGAAAGTGACAAAAATGACAAAGTACGTATCAATCCTCTCACGTAATCTTTCATTCTTTATTGTGTATTAAATACTCTCCCCCCTCCCTCCCGCTCTGAACAAACACGTAACATTCCTTGAATTAAATCACATGAAACATTTTTTATTTTTTATTTTTTTGTATTTTTGCAAATTAGACAGAAGAAGAAGAAGAAGAAGAAGAAGAACTAGGAGAATTCAATCCAATACTCTGTAAGAGAATTCTATGAAGTGATCATCCCTGATCAAGCATTCAAAATTTGCCACATAAAAAAAGGGGGAAAAAGGAAAAAAAAAAGGTGACGACTTTCCCATTCTTGATCGACTCAATTTCACATTGTAAAACACACACGCACACACGCACTTGGATGATGATGATTTTTGGAATTAGAGTTTGTTTTTGTTTTGTTTGTTTTTAAGTCATCATGATATGATTCGGTAATCCCACTAATTTCTGTTTATCTGCTCCATTTAACCATTTGATTTCTCAAGAGTGTTGATGATAAAGGGGAATTGGGATTCTGGGACATTCTGGTGGGTTTACTGTGATTAGTGAAATTAGTGCTTAATGATCATGTTACGAGAATCTGTCATCCTTCCCTTTATATGTTTCTGTTTGATTCCCTAATTTCATTGTTCATATCTTTGAGTTTGGTTCTGAAAAGTTGGATTCTTTGTTTAATTTGATACGCCCCTCATCCCCCCAAACACCATTTTGTACGTCTCTGCTTGATTCATTATTGATTTCTTTCACCTGGTAGAAAAAGTTTTTTTTTTTTTTTTTTTTTTGAAAAGTTGTAGAAAAAGTTTGATTCTTGGGTATTCTGGTTGATTGGCTTTATTTAGGTTGATGATCCTTAAAAAAAAAAAAACCATTTTTTTGCAGCTAGAGAGAAGGAAAAGGAAAAGCAAGTATGTTGGGAAATGGGGTTCTGGGGATTCTTTCAGAATCTACAAACAAGTGGGAAAGAAGGGTTCCTCTGACCCCATCCCACTGTGCGAAATTGTTGCATGGAGGGAGAGGCAAAACAGGTGTGGCCCGGATCATTGTGCAGCCATCCACAAAGCGGATTCACCATGATACACTTTATGAAGATGTTGGATGTGAAATTTCTGAGGATCTTTCTGAGTGTGGACTCATTTTGGGTGTAAAGCAACCCAAGGTGTGGTGCTACCAAAAACCAATTCTCTGATGGAGAAGTTAGACTTTTTGACCTTTTTTTTTTAATGCTAAATTTGTCTCTATTGTGTTGCAGTTGGATATGATTCTTCCTGACAGAGCTTATGCGTTTTTCTCGCATACTCACAAGGCGCAAAGGGAAAACATGCCTTTGCTTGATAAGGTAACGATGGACGTCATACTTTAGATTGATATTAGTAGTACCTGGAAAATTCTTTACATTTTTCTGGAATTGTGTAATCCTGCAGATTCTCTCTGAGAGAGCATCTTTGTTTGATTATGAGCTTATAGTTGGAGAACATGGCAAGAGACTACTAGCATTTGGGAAATTTGCTGGTAGAGCAGGAATGATTGATTTTCTACATGGATTAGGACAAAGTATGAACCTTATTGTTTTGGAGTTTTATACTTTCTTAAATGCAGCTCTCGTTATTTATTTATTTGTGTTAGGAAATTCTCCTTGCTCCATGAATTGCCATCAACTCCAAAACATTTATTTATGTTTAGTTCTATCGTTGCAGGATATCTCAATCTTGGATATTCGACTCCTTTCCTTTCTCTGGGAAGATCGTATATGTATTCTTCATTAGCTGCAGCAAAGGCTGCTGTGATTTCAGTTGGTGAAGAGATTTCTAGCATGGGGCTTCCACCAGGAATATGTCCTATAGTTTTTGTATTTACTGGCTCAGGAAATGGTATATTCCTGCCTATTAAATCACTTCTCTTTTCTGTCATATTTTTCGTATGCAAGATGTGCACTGGTTTCATTCATGGCAGTAACTTTGTGGTAATTTTTCTAGTCTCACAGGGAGCGCAAGAGATTTTCAAACTTCTGCCTCACTCTTTTGTGGATCCTTCCAAACTTCCTGAACTATATACAAAGGTAGTGACTCCAACTCGAAGACAGCAAATTGATTTCTTTGCACTCATTTTTATGGGTACTATCAGTTATCTTATATTAGTGCTTTGCACACTTAGCATAGAGAAAGAAGCGGGAACCATGCATGAGGGAGATAGGTAGGCAGTCTTTTGTCAACATTCATCTCCAGTGTTAATATTTTTGCAGTTATTAGACAGTGGTTAGGTGACCTTTGCTTTCCACCTTCACATTTGGTGTCTGGTATTTCTTCTGCCTGATACCACTTATTTCACTTCTCTCAGCCATTTTGTGAAACTTCGTCTCAAGTATATTCATTTCATTGTACCTCGTAGGGCTTCTGTAATATTCTTGACGCTTGTTTTCTGCCCTTTCTTGGACGCAAAGAACTCAATTTTGTGCACTCAACATTTTCAGAAGTAGTTTGGAACTTTTCTGATGCTTGTGTTGATACTTTGAGGTCCTTTTTTTTTTCATTTGTGGAACCTGTGAGGGTAAATGGACAATAACAAACTTAAGGGGCTTTGTACCTTTGGTTGTCCAAGTTATCGATTTCTTTCATTTCCTCTTCTTTTTCAGTTTTAGCGCAGTGGCCTGTGTTCTATTGTTTTTGTCCATAGCACAAGTTGTGTTTAACTGACACGTCTGTGACACGAAATAAACATTATTATTGTCTTGTTTTTGGTAAAACTTTGTCAATGTATGCAGGGTGAAGATCTTCGACGTCCTGCAAAGAGAGCCTTTAAAATTTATGGTTCTGTTGTAACTTCTAATGACATGGTGGAGCCTAAGGACAAATTGAAGCCCTTTGACAAGGTAGGCTCTAGCATCTATGGTCTGGCAGCTATACCTCCTTAACCCACAGTTCTTTCCATTTTAATCCTGCATTATAATGCATGTATTATTATCTAGTTTTTGTTTCCATCAAGAGCTAACATATAGTTATATTCGACCAAAGAAGGTGACTTTGTGGACATCTATGCATCCAATGTGCATGCATCTTGAATCTCTTGAATTTAGCTGTTATTTGTTTACTGCAATGTTTGTACCTTCATGGTTCATTCTGGGGAAATAGACTTGCGTTATATTTATCCGAAAAATGGGTAGATTTGCTCATGTCTAGAATCTTTAGGGTTTCTCCAGAAAGTAAATTCTACTGACCTTACGGCAAACCAGATGCATGTTTCCAATGCTCGTTAGATAGTTTGGCTTCTGTTTACAATTAATTTTTTTACCATTAACGATGAACTTGGGATTCTTTCAGGCTGATTATTATGCACATCCAGAGCACTACATTCCTGTTTTCCATGACAAGATTGCTCCTTATGCATCTGTAATAGGTTTGCTTTGATCACTAACAATTGAATTAAAATCAGTTTTTTTAGTTAGAAGAAATCAAATAATGTTACGCATAATGTTTTTTCTTGTATTGTGATCTCCCTATAAATGAACAATTTATATTCTGGTTTATTTTTCCAAGCAGTTAACTGCATGTACTGGGAGAAAAGGTTCCCACAGTTATTATCAACCGAGCAGCTAAAAGAGCTAAAGATGAAAGGTTGTCCACTTGTTGGAATCTGTGACATAACCTGTGATATCGGTGGCTCCGTGGAGATTGTTAACAAGACCACGTCCATTGATTTTCCTTTCTTCAGGTAATTTAGTGCATCATTGTTGTCTGTAATTATCTTTATTTGGAAATTATAACAAGATTTTGTCCTGTTTAATTTATCAAATTTAAAGGAACACATAACTATGTTCAGAAGTGCTCTTTTATTTGCCCGTATTTTATTCTGAACACTTTTGCTCGCAGATATAATCCTTTGAACAACACTTCCCATGATGATCTGGAGGGAGACGGGGTGATTTGCTCTGCTGTTGACATTCTACCGACTGAGTTCGCGAAAGAGGTTGATCTCACGTCTCTTGCTTAATTTATCCTTCTCCTCTCTCACTTTCAGTTTTCTTTTCCTCTTATTAACTCTATTTTTTCTGTTTGTGTGAAATATAATTATGAAAAAGGCATCACAACATTTTGGCGACATTCTTTCCCAGTTCATTGGGAGCTTGATTAGCATTTCCAATGTTGAGGATTTGCCTATGCATTTGAAAAGATCTTGCATTGTGTTTGAGGGAGCACTAACTCCGTTATATGGATATATTCCTCGAATGAGGAACTCCGATATTGAGTAAGTATACATTATCTCACCCTTAGATCTGTTCACCCTTCCCACTTTTCAACAATCTGAAACTCTTCTCAAGTTGTGGTACTGAAATGTACCTTATGGTTTATGATGCAAAAACAATTCCAAACTCTTCTCGAGTTGAAAAACTGAAATGAATTCCATCAAGGAATGTTCATGAAGTTTTTTTCCTTTTTTTTTTTTCTTGAAGTAATTTGCATTTTTTTAAAAAAAACCAACCACATTGCCTCTGCAGTTATATGTATATATCGTTAATCTACTATTAGACAAGGTATATTAAATTTAATTTTGAGATTCAGCTACAGTTTTTGCAAGTTCTTATGCCTTTAACATGTATCTTTGCAGTGATGCTTCAATTAATCTAGGGAAAGTCATCCCTGAGAAGAAAAAATATACTGTCTTGGTATGTTTTCTTCTTTGACCCAGAGTTTAGGGATTTTAATAATTATGGATTAATCTTATGAATTTATTATTGTATCCATTCTTTCAAGTAACAGGTATCTTTGAGTGGTCATTTGTTTGATCAATTTCTTATAAATGAAGCACTAGATATTATTGAAGCAGCTGGTGGCTCCTTTCACTTGGTTAAATGTCAAGTAGGCCAAAGCACGGATGCTATGTCTTATTCAGAACTTGAGGTCAGTAAACATCAATTGCAGATGTCCTCAGTTTATGTTTGATAACTCAGTTCTACATATCCATAACCTCAACAGACTGCACGTAAATCAGGAGCTTTCACTCTTATGATAATTGTAGTCCTAATTGGAGTTCCTTTTTTTCTTTTTCTTTTTTTTTTTGGTGAAAATTCCCCCATGTCCACATGTGAGGGTTGAACCTGGGACCAACCTTTCACAAATGCCCAGGCTATGCTACTCCACTTCTTGGAGTTTTTCATTTTGCAGTAAAAGATAATTTAAGCAAATATATAGATACCATTCCATTTAGTCATTTCATTAACCTCAATTTGTTTCATTTTTTGGACAGGTTGGAGCAGACGATAAAGAAGTCCTTGATAAAATCATTGACTCTTTAACCTCTATTTCTAAATTACGTGAAGATACCGGAGTTATTGATATGACAAAGCATATGATATCTCTGAAGGTTGGTAAACTAGAGAAGGGTAGCATAGAGAAAGGGACTGACATGAAGAAGAGGAATGTTATCCTTATCTTAGGTGCTGGCCGAGTTTGTCGACCGGCTGTCGAGTTCTTAACATCAATTGGGAGTAATGCATCTCTGCACCAAGTTTTGAGGTCTTGCATTGATGCTGAATTTCAAGAACAAAATAGTATTGAAGTGATTGTTGGTTCTCTTTACCTCAAGGATGCAGAAAAGGTATGCCATCTAGGTTTAGGGGTATAAAAGTAGAGGTGGATAAATTACAAAGGGAAAAAAAAGGCAGGAGATATATACCAAAAATCTTTTGTGGTCATCCATATTCTTCTCATATAATTACCTTTTGTCATCATGGTGCTGTGTTTTCTATTCAGTTTTCCATGAGGTGTTTATTGTTACAATCCTGCGATTCTGTTTTGCTTTTGTATTTCACCTGGCATTTAGTTTGATTACTGTAAAACTGTGATGCAGATTACAGAGGGCATCATGAATGCTACAGCTATTCAGCTTGACATAAAGAATCATCAAAGTCTTCATTCTAACATTGGACAGGTACGGTTGCCACTGTAAATTACTGAAGAAGAAAAATTATTTAAGAAGAAATATTGGATAGTTCAATTTACCCGTGGCCCCCCGTCCATGATGTAATTTAATTTCCTTTTAGAAATTAATAAAGGTTACACTTTGATATATCTAAAGTAAAACATCTGTGGTCGTGATTGCGACATAGGCAACTCCACAATGTGGGATAAAGATTTGTTGTCGTGGTTAATATACTTTCTTCATCTTGTGCAGGTTGACGTTGTAATTAGTTTTCTTCCACCGAGTTGCCATAACATCATTGCAACTGTTTGCATTGAGGTATTGATTAGTCCTTCGTATGTTCTTGATACTCTTAACGTAATTCATTGCATAAAATGCTTTAATGAAAACTATGCCTGATGAAAGGTTTAGTGTAACCAACTAGTTTTATTTTTTATATGCACATGTGGGTAAAGTAAATATCTTTTGTTTTATTTTTTGTTCTTTCTTGATCATGTCAATACTTTTGCCTCTGAGGGGGAATATTCAACTACGTTATTGTTATGAAGTCCTAGTACTTAACTTAATAATAGCTCATGTAATTGTACCCAAAAAAAATAATAATAATAATAATAACTCATGTAAGACTTTATTTATAACCATCAGATTCAGGAGCTTTACTTCTATTGCGAGCAAGTCTGGTTGATATGTCTAGTTGTGCATTTTGTTTGTTTTAAACTTAATAAAGAAGTAACTCTTTCCTCCTAATGCAGCTGGAAAAACATCTTGTCACTGCTAGTTATGTTGACGAGTGCATGTCAAAGCTAGATGAACCAGCAAAGAATGCAGGCATCACTATTCTCGGTGAAATGGGCTTAGATCCTGGAATTGGTGAATTTCATCCCATTGCAAAGACTGCTGGTGTAAAGTTTTTAGTGAAATTTGTTACTGAAATCATTTTTTCTTGCGTCAGATCACATGATGGCAATGAAGATGATAAACCAAGCACATTTAAGAAATGGGAGGATCAAGTCATTTACTTCTTACTGTGGTGGTCTTCCATCTCCAGAAGCAGCAAACAATCCTCTAGCTTATAAATTCAGGTATGCTTTAGGTCCTTGCACATTCAGTTAAGAGGTATGAGAGCATTTGTGGCCATCCGCATCTCTATGTGTACTACAATCTCATAGGCAGAACTAAGAAACAAGATGTTGGGAGTTTTCTCTGTCTGCAGATGGAAATTTTTCAGCTTATGATATATAAACTAGGTGGACTTGAATTTTGTGTTACCGCATGGTCCTTGGTCCCTTTGTTGAGCTTAGATGTACATCTCTAGATAACCGTTTCAAGCATTTTCTCAGTTGGAATCCAGCCGGAGCCATTCGAGCCGGGCGTAATCCAGCCACATACAAGTATCATGGAGAAATTGTGCACGTCGATGGTGAGTTCTAAGTTTGCTTTTAGATCTGTTGTTCAAATAGCCAACCTTCACACTGTGATATGAAGCTAAGTAGTTGTTGTAATAATGTCCATTTCATGTATATTTCCATCCTTGCGGCTAGTGTTATGCTGACATGGAATTTAATTCTTCACATGGGTTATGGTGGTGGCCATCATTGTCAATTCTTTCAATGTTGTGCTAATAATGGATTAGATCAAAATGGCTCATCTAAATTCCGGCGCTTCTAATTTTGGTGAAGTTTCCGGAAATCAATACACCAATGCACCAATGCATCTTGGGTCGTACTACTTAAACAGCCTCTCTGTATTGATATACAGGGGGTAAGACTGCATACATCTTGACCCTCCAGACCCCAATCGAGTTGGGAATATACTGGGTATGTTGTTGTTGTTGTTGTTATGGTGGTGGCCAGACATTCGATTCTATCGTCTGGTTTATGGTAACATCAAATTAGATCCCCTAAGCGGCTCTGCATAAAAATAATATTACAGTCTACTAGCCTCTACTAACATGGATACTGGTGCTTTAGCTTCCAGTTTGTGGAATTACTTGTTGAACGGTCTTCCTGGCATTCTTCACAATATTGGTCAACTTGCAGGTGAGCAGCTGTATGATTCTGCCGCAAGGTTTAGGATACCTGATCTTCCGGCTTTTGCACTCGAATGTCTTCCCAACCGTAATTCCTTAATTTATGGAGAACTGTACGGGATAGCAAATGAAGCATCAACCATTTTCCGTGGGACTCTACGCTACGAAGGCATGTCAAGTCTTTATGCTTTTTAAAGAATTCATCTTTTGTCGCACTTGACTATCTTTTCATTCTTAGTACTACTAGTTAACTGTCAAAATGGAAATTCTTCTTAGATCTTTCATTTACAAGAAATTCTAATTCATTATCATAAGAGTTCTACAAAATATTTCTATTGATATCTTAAACTCCAACAGACGCTCGAGTCTAAGAAGGTAGGTAGTTAGCAAGAGAAACAGTGCATGTACAGAAAGTAGTTATATTTCCAGCATCTTAGCTACTCCAATTACTAAATGATTTATACATAAGAAGACAAATCTTAAATACTATATATGGGTGGTTTGGAACAAAGAATTTAATGACATGGTGCGTAACTGATAGTTAGGAGCATTGAGAATCCTGTTTGGTTAACCTTGCTTTCAAGCTTTCTCCAACCAGTTGCTGCTGAATGTGTGACTAAGATTGCATCCCAATGTCATTCAGGTTTCAGTGCAGTGATGGCGACACTTGCAAAGCTTGGATTCTTCAATACGGAATCTCTGAGTAGTCTTAACATTGGAGAAAGACCCACTCACCATAAAATTTTACTTGAACTTTTAAGGCAAAATACTGATAAGTCCGATGGACTCTCTGCGGATGAAAAAGGTATCACAGAAAGAATTGCTGCACTTGGAGTTTGCAAGGATGGAGAAACTGCCGTACGGACAGCCAAGACCATCATGTAAGTATCAGTGAAGAATAACCATGTTGTTATTCAATGCCAAAAGTTACATATTTTTCAAATGTGGAGACCAGGGCCAAAATGCCAAATCCTGCAGAATTGTTGGTTATGTTCGCCCTTTACTTTTTCCTGCTCGCATTGTGGTAAGTTCATTTAATTGATGATTGATCTCTGTTTTTTCCCTTGCTTTTTATGTTGCAAAAGTTTTCTGGGATATCATGAGCCAACAGAGGTTTCACCATCTTGTGGAAGTATTTTTGATGTCACCTGCCTCCGCATGGAAGAAGCTTTAGCTTATTCAGACAAAGAAGAGGTAGTTGATTGCATTAGCCCGTCAATGTATGACCATCTTTAATTATTGGCTGTTCATTAACCAATCCAATGTGGTCAGGATATGGTGCTTCTGTACCACGAAGTAGAAGTTGATTTCCCAAATGGTCAACCTACCGAAAACAATAAGGCAACTCTATTGGAATTTGGAAAGACCAAGGATGGGAGAAACACCACAGCGATGGCTTTCACTGTTGGGATCCCAGCTGCAGTTGGAGCTCTGGTATCATGTTCTTTCCATTTTCTGCTATGTTAACAAACCTTTTATAGCTATATGTAGGTAACAAGATTTTATGGAATTTTAACACATTGCAGCTCCTGCTCACAAACAAGATCCAAGTGAACGGGGTTTTAAGGCCAATTATTCCAGAAGTTTACTTACCAGGTGTGTTCTTTCTATTCAGTTCTTGTCCTTTGAGACTCTGGTGTTTTCTAGAAAATGCAACTGTAAAAAAGCATAAATCTGTACAAGCATTAACTGGATGAATTGCACCGGTCCAGTTTCAGCTCGTCTTGCGTAGCCCTCTAGTTAATTGTTTCATTTTCCTTCTTCTGCAGCCCTAGATATTTTGGAGGCATATGGTTTCAGGTTGATGGAGAAGATGGAGTAGTCCAAAAACAAGAATCAGTGTAAATCTGCAGGCTTCACGTCCTTGCATTATTCCAAAAAACATTTAACTCAAATTGTTCTCAAGATCGGAAAGGTTCGTAGATTGTTTTGTACAGTGTTTAGTCATGTATATATAGCATGATTGGAAGATGAAACAATAGGCGGGAAATGTCTCCTTCCTTCCACCTAGTTTCAGTCTCCAGGTTTTTTCGCCTCGTCTGAAGTTTGTGTATGACAAATGTGGATAGTTTTCAGAATAGGGGAAGACGGATAAAATAAACTATCAGATATCTGAAGCTTTTAGCCAGTGTATTTCTTGGAAACTTTGCATAATGTTTATGTTCCTTGTTAAAGTCCTCTCAGCATTCAGGAAGAAAGTCTGCAATATATATTAACCAAAGAGAGAAAAAATACCACAAAAAAATAAGTAATACCTTAATCAAACCAAGATGTCAAAAACTTGATCTGGTTCCTTTAATCTATGTAAAGTCAAGAGAATGACCAAAAGAGTTCAAAAGGGGACAATTTGGAGCACAGTCTGGACCCTGGCAGGATCATCTTAACTACAAGCACTTATTGGGCCAAAGGATTATGAGAAACACCAATTTTTCCGTCTTACCCATCAACAACCTCCAAGTGGTTTTACTTTTATCCATGTGTGAAACTGGAGAAATATATCCAGATATCTTGCATAATCATTCATCAAACAAAATCTAATCCAGTCAAGAGGTTTCCCTGCATCAAATTGAACCTTTCAGAACTACAATTTGGAATCCGGTGGCCGGAGATTTCAGCTCCTTGGACCAGCAGTTTTCCCCCCAGTTTAAAATGAGGCCGCGCTCTGCATGTATGGTTGAGGAGTTCATCTGCTTTACTATGCTGTTAACAAAATTGTAAGCCTTGACTACTGACATGACTCGTTACATTTTGCAGGTTAGTCTGATGAATTCAATCATCAAAATGAATATTCTAATAAGTCTGCACAAACAAACGCTAGATTAGTTTGTCAGTAAAAATAATTTTAAACTCTTCAACATTTCATCTCAACAAGTACAATAACCCAACCACTCCACACAGCTGGGAATGAAAATATAATAACTACTGCTACCTCTGTCCTGAAATTATTGTCCGCTTTGGATTTTCACGACAAATGGAGTACATCTTATTATGTGGAACTCTGTTGCTGGTGGAAGAACATGACCTCACATACAAAAATGCGAAGCAGGGTTAATGGCCGCTGCAGCATAACTACTTCTAACATTACAATGGAGTTTCAAAATTCAGGCTCAACATCTTCTCCTTAAATCTGTACATGAGAGATTCAACAGTCGAAACCCCAGTACAGAACTTGCTATTGAGCACTTCTCACAAGTTTTACAGATCATTTTGTACTCATCCTACAATGCTATCATGTTTTAATGGGTGTTGCCAGGCAACTTGGCAGGCCAACCCCTATGTCAATCTCCTACATCGCTAAATCCGGAAAGAATCTCGTGGAATCAACGCATAAGGCAATCGTTCAACTCTTGTATTCCTGTCATCAGATATCTTTGACCAGATATCCCCCGTCCAGCAATTGGGGACTAGGAATGTAGCAGAAGTCCATGCTTGCAAATTCTCAAATACTTTTCCGGCGACTAAACTATACTCCTATGAATACATACCAGTTTAAGACCTCAAAAATGATGCCAAATTGTCATGAATTAGTCCACGACACCAAGTGATTCTCCACCTCTTCCCAGTTATGAACTTTGGTGATGAGCGGGTGTTGTTGAACAGACTCTATTTTCGACCATGGATATGAATTTTGATAATCGAATAGAAGAACTCTCATTCCAGCTTCGGCACACTCAATAGCATATCTCGGATTATCATCAATCAAAACTTTTGCTCCCAAAGACCTGGAATAAACAAAACAATGAACACAGCTATAGAAGTCACCCAAGCATCTTTAAGAGTTAAAATAGAACAATAATGTGAAATAATCAGGTGATCCAACCGAAGAAGCAACTCACCTGCAAATGTCTGACTTAGGTCTGGATTTTCCATCCAATGCAAAGTGATTGCCAAAATGGATCTCTTGGAACAATCCTGGAAAGTGCTTCTCAATCCACTCAATTGTGTGGTCTTTAATAACATTTTGCCGGGACCTAAGATGACAGATCAAATCATTTTATTATAAAGTGCGATGGAAACAAGAAGAAATTTTTTAATATAAACAAGACAGCCTGGAGATACATACGTAACTATGGATAAATCATAAAATCGGGACAACTTTTGGAGAGCCTGCTTAGCGCCGGGGATTGGATAAATCCCTTTTTTGAAATATGGTGTCTTAAAGAATTCATGAACACGTAGATCAGCTGTCACAATGAAAGAGAACCCCTGGTTAGATTCAAATCTGCACATGAAGCCTTGCGATGAAGAACATTATATGTACAATTATCAGCTTTGATTTTCAAAACGACACTCTATTAGCATTTCCAGCATTTCGCAAGACCAGAGGCAAGGCAAGCTGGCCACAGACAATCATTTCCCCAAAGAAAAATAAGATCGGAGATAGGGCGTGACATTTATTGCAGATGTACAGCATATCAATTGAACAAACCAGAAAACAACAGCAACCGAGATATTCAATTCACTAACTTTTAACCCCGAGTTCCAGTAGCCACGAACACAGTCCAATATCTAAGGAAAATGAGAAGTTGAAAAAGAGACGAAAAGAAAGAGTGAAAGAGATTATACCTTCATCACGGGAACAATTCCATATCTGCAACAAAAATCAAAGATGAATCAAGAGAACATACAACAGCATCACTACATATGAGCATGTGCATAGTGAAACATTTGCAACTGACTTGCAAATAACCGGGAGAGGTGCGATCCTAAGGGTTAACAAACACTCAAAAAGACCCAGTGCACATATGCTGTACCACAAGATTAAAGCTCAAATTGTAACACAAACACTAAGAACGAATGTGTGAATAACCAGCTGATACTTACCTTGAAAAACTCATAAACATGGTATTCTGAAACCGAGTGTTTTAACTCATAACGTGCTGCAATGAATTGATTCAGAGCTGACACAAAGTTGCCAAGAACTGCAAATTGTACATAGAAAACCCCAATTAGCATAACCCAGATTATAGTTCCACAAAACATACCAAGACATAAAAAAGACAAATTTCGGATAAATCGGTCAGCATAATCACAAAATATACAGCAGCACCAAACACCTGCACAAACTACTAATGTAACATCCAAACAACTGTAATATTAACCACAGCCCATCATTTAAAAAAAAAAAAAAAAAAACACACACACACACACACAACTTTTAAGCATGAGAAGAATCTGAATCATAAAAAGGAAGGGGAAAAAAAAGAATACTTTTTCCCCTTATGGATTGGATGTGTACCTTCATCAACATCAACAGCAACCATAAATTTCTTGGGACCCAAATGTGGATCCTCCGGAAACCCAAGGCAGCCACCTTTGTCACTCCGGTACCTGCCACCGGCATCAAAAGTTGTATTCTTCAAGCTAAAACTGATCTCTTCAGCCACCAACTCCCGCAACAAATGAGGCCCAATTACCCTAGCCTTATGCAACCCAAATCCGCCACCGAAACCACCATCGCCGCCACCGTTAACGAACCCAGAACTTTTCTTCTCGTTATCGTTCCGGCTACCAATATGACCGTTCTCAGCTGAACCACACCCTCTAACCTTCAACCCAACGGCCCTGTTCAAAGATTTCCGAACCGATGCAAAGGGAATCGGATCTTTAGAAATGGCGGTGGAGGGCGGCGCCGCTGCCATAAAATATCTCCGACAAATGGGGTGGCAGAGACGACGATTGCTGCTGCTTCTATGAAAAGATGATAGTAATAAATGGAAGCAGCTTCGCCTATTTATCATAATAACTGAATTGATTATAAAACTAATTTCTTTTTTCCTTTTATTTTTTCCTTCAAACAATTTGTATTACATCGATGATGGAAGATATAATCAAAGAAAAGAAATGGGGGGAGAATTGTAAGGAATTGAACTAATCAAGAATGAAGGACATTAAGGACAAAAGTGTTTGAAGATGAACGAGGATTCAGATCGGAGGTTGTGTTTGTTTTTGTTTGGCTTTCTTTATTGGGATAGATACTTATATTTTTATTATTATTGTTATTAATTCTGGTGGCAGTGAAATTAAAGAATCTGGAGGAAAGGGAACCTTTGAATTTCATGACCACAAAATTAAGGGAATGTTGTAATTTATTCGTTATGGTCAAATTAATGTCAGAGGCCATCCATTAATTATTTGGAGAACATACTTGAGCAAGTGGAAAACTGCAAATTTTCCAACTAAATCACAGTATTATCCTTTTTATGGACAATTTTTGTCTTGTATAATTCAATACGATCCAAATATATCCGTTATAATATAATTTATTTCTTCGTCCCGAAATTAGAATTTCGAAAGAATTACATGTATTTTCAACTCGCTTTCGGTCAATTGTTTTTTGACTCATGTCCTTAATCTTATTAGAGAGATGGATAAAGTAAGTGCACACTTAGCTTTTTCATCATCAATACAGCGTTAGCAAAGGTTAAAATTGATGAATTGGAGACAAAAGTATATCCATTATTCCTAAACATTTGGAATTGCAAACAAGGTTGGGTAACAGTAAAAGCATCAATTTTAATGGTGAGACAAAAGCTACAAATCTGAGTATGTACAAGTGTAAGACAGCAGAACAACAACGACATTGGCTAAAACTATAGTTTGGGCAAAGAATATGCAAATTCTCAAGTAGCACAACCTTGTCACTTCCCCAAAAGACCATGAAACATAGCAGCAACTAGGTCCATCAAACAAAACTAGCTAGCTGAAATTCTTCAAGATCAGTCCAGGGAGAAGCAACAACATCATAGTTAGGATCGAACTACTCGTATTTGATCCCGATGAAGTTGTTGGCTTTCGGGCGACCTCATGCCTTCCAGTGTCAATCATGATCTCATATTTACAAGAACTTCCGGATGGGGATGGATCAATGTTAGTAATCACTGACAAATTGAAGAACTGATCACAAGACCCTTTCTGCTGATTTGCTGTCTGATAAAACATATTGAACGCGTACGAAGCATTTCCGCGAACATCCAACCCGCCACAGGAGGAACCATATCCAAGACTAGTGCAATCTGCATAGCTACAAGCTTTGTCTATACTCTGAGGCAAATTAGGATCAGAAAGGTCAGCATCAGGCCTCATCACACACCATTGTCTGGACAGATACTTAACGCCTTTTGCGTACGTGAGATTCCGATTGTTACCCAAATTCAAGGGATACTTTATGCTGCCATCATAGTAGAATATGCCCCAATGCCTTTCGAAATTCCCTGGCTGAATGCTCTTAGCATCTTCATCAATGAGTCCAAACAAATAAATATCAGGAGCAGGGCTTGGCCTCTTTGGGGTCCCTCGGTTTTGAATGATTCGGTTCAACAGGCCTTGATTGAATCTCCTGGCATACTCTTTATTTGCATTGACATCACCATCAGTTGGCCATCCAACTTCACCAACAATGACAGGAATATTCGGGAACCCATTCTTCTCCAGAGCCCAGATGAGTGTATCATAGTTGGCCTCGAAAACATTGGTGTAAGTTATGGATCCGTCGACAACAGGCGCCGCGGAGCCTTCAAAGAATGCATAATCAACAGGGAAATGGGGATCAGCATACAGACTAAGGAATGGATATATGTTAATAGTCAGGGGAGCTCCATTATCATTCAAAAACTTGATAATGGACATCATTAGGTCATGGATATCGGGTCGAAAATCGCCTCCTGATGGCAACCCGCTTTCTGTCTGATAAACATCTGCATTGATTGGGATTGTGACTTTCACTTGTCGGCCTAATCCTGCTTTGATCAGGGCAGCTTGGATGTTCTCTAGTGCAGGATATATGGTTCCTGAGAACATGTCTTTGTAGGTTTTGAGGAAAGGTTCATTCCCGATTGCGACATATCTGAGAACAAACCAACAGAAATTAAAAATGTCCTGAGTTTTGTCACCAATAAAATTTCATGCGCAGAATCAAACATTGAAGTACTCTGACAAGTTTCATTTGCTTGTGCTTTGTTCTTGGACTTTTGTTACTGTCTTTTCTGATTTGTAATGTGCAATCAAGTATGGTCATCATACTACACATCTTAGAAAAGTTCCAATCTTCTTTTTTTCCTCGTATAAAATATTCCCGAATAAAGCATTCCAGTCATCACAATAAAAGTAAAACATTTTACTAATAAAACACAACTGATACGTTGAAATTGATACACAAAAATTGAGACAGAATAAGTACAAATTAAATCGATCATCTGACCAGTCAAACCGAACGGTGTGACATGTATGAAATGAACATCCGGGAGATTAAAAAATCAAGATATATAGGATACAACAAAAAAATGATATGGTTATTGTAATGATGAAAAGTTTACCTTACATCAACACCATATCTGGAAATATAGGATGAAACATTTTGGGACACCCAATCCTCAGCAACACGAACACTACTAGCCAAAGGTGCCAACAATTCATTAGGGATCCCAACCATAACTTGAATCCCAGAGTTCCCAAGTGCCTCCATAGCTTCAGGGACAACTTCAAACAGCTTCACTTTATCAATCCCATTGTCCTTCATCAACTTCACCACTATATCAGGTGGCAAAGGATGTGAAGCCCTTGTTCCCCAATTAACTGCCAACCCTTCTGCAATCACAAACTCACCTACTAAACACACCAACAAAATCTTAACAAAAACCATCCCATAATCCATGATATTACTCCGTTTTCCTTAATTTCTCCAAAAGATGGAAGTTTGGAGTTTTTTTGGGGGTTACTTGTCTTTTTGTGGGACAATATTTAGCTTATTAAAGGGACAAAAAGGGAAGCAGAGGTAAAAAGGTGACCTTTTGTGGAAGGAAAAGGAAAGGCATTTCATGAAGATTCAACAAGGAATGTGATTCTAAATTGGCTACCTTTTTGCATCAATCAGGTTTCATATTACACCTGGACAACTCAGAGAATGAAACATCATAAGGAAGGGGAATCTGGTTGTGAAGCAAGGAATGGAGTAAGAAAGTTGATTACTCAATTTCGGGATGTTATATGTTGCTTATATATACGTTTTGTACATATTCGATTATCTTTACATTAATTGGTATTTTATTTATGAACTTCCTATTCAGTTTTGGAAAATGTGAACCTTCTGAGGTATAAGACAAAAGAATGAGCTAGTTATATGACATGATATGTTTCCAATTTGACTATAAAATGTAGAAAATAATGTTACCATTCTAATTATAGATAATTTGATGTTTCCTAGTCATTAGAAGAAAAAAAAAAACGAATTTTCCAATTTTTACACCATCATTTTTGGTTCTCAAAATATGTTTATCGGTTTTTTATAATAAATAATACTTATATATATATATATAAATTAATCCAAGTAATCAGGCCAATAGTTATGATTCATTCCAGAGTTGGCTCAACGCATACTGAGGCCTCAAACAAAATTTCAATTTGGAGCCCTCCAATAGCCAAACTTTGATAAATAAAATTTTGATTAAAATATTTTAAATATCAATACAAATAATTTTATGAGATAACTGAAATACAACTATTTCGCACGTCAGAACGTTTGTGTTAGTATAGATTTTTTAATTATTTTTTCAACAATTACTATAAAATAATTCCATAAAATAATTATAGTGAATAAAATCCTAAAAAATGAGGCCCTAAATAATATGAAGCTTTAAGAACCTCCCCTAAAGTCGGCACTATTAAAATTTCCTTTAAAATTTGCATGCACAAATCTTTATTGTGATCGTTAACTTGTTTTGGTTCAAGAAATTAAAATAACCTTCTTTATTTTATTTTTTATTTTTGAAATAAATGGAGTATGAATTTCTTAATGCCATGGGAGCAACTCCTAATAATAATATGCTCAAACTGCAGCCGATATACGCGAGTAATGTACTGATCGCATGAACTGATGATGCAAGAAGTTAATTTGGATCCAAATTAAAGTACTCTCAACTTCTTTGAAATCGTAACTGCACTGCATCTGCATGAATTGTGAATACTTAAAGAAACACTAGCACTTTTTGAATGGAACTATGTGAAAGTAACATGATTAAAACATTGCATTGATAAGAAACACTGATTATATTTTACTTTATAAATCTATTTAACTTACTATTTAATTAAAGACGGATCCTCTGATCTATGCAAACTATTTAGAAGAATAATCGCCAAGAAAACAAAGTAGCCAGTTTTTAAAAGGCACATTATAATACCGTTGTCTTGTTGAACAAGTTCTGTTGTCTCGTTGCATAAAGCTCGTGATCATATCGATTGATAGGATATTTTGTTTCATTTTTATGGATGTAAGAAGGGTTTTTTTTTTTCATTTTTTTTACTAGTAAAAGTAACTTCGTTCATGAATGCTGGAAATTGTCCGGCCACGATTAATATGGATGTAACAAGGTTCAAGTGCATTCTTTCATTTGACTTCTTCAATTTTACAAAATCACGATTTTTTTGAAAGTCTCTTTTCACTAGTTACCCTTTGATCGGTCAATATGTCATGGGTTTTTTCCCCTCATAAACTCGTACATAAAACTATTATTAGTAGTACTAACAAATTTTAGCATGACCGTGAACACGAGCGGTGAAATACTGACCTAACTCATGCGTAATTAATTTATGGAGAAGAAGAATTTGATATACAGTACAACCATTCTAAAGTGTTTAATTAATTAGTTATTAAAATCTTTTATTATAGCTCAAAGTAAATCAATAGTAACTCTATACGTACTGATATATGAACATGCTATATATGATGATGAACACATAATTCATATTTTATTCATTGTTCCTTTAATTTTCTTATGTGCATGGGTCTAACTAGCAACCACGAAAAATGAAGTTTCACCAAAAAAAAAAAAAAAAATGAAAATCTTTTATCTTAGTTGGGGTTTTTTTTTTTTTTTTTTTAAGAATAGTGGATCTTCACTAAAATGGGGAAAATAAATTATAATTTTGTTTTTCCTTTTCGCCTCGGCGTCTTGCCATAGTGTACTGCAAAATTTACACGTGCCATACAATTTTCATTTTTTTATTTTTATGTTATCTATTCTGAAAACAATATTTCGTTCGATGGTTCGAGAATATACCAATGTGCGTCTACTGGTGCTCTGCCACGACTATTAGCCATGAAGTCATGGTCATGATTGAGCCATGCAGTGCCACATTTGTAACAAAATTCAAAGCTTTGGATTAAACTAAAATCATTTTATTATATACAATCACAGTAATATTTAATTTTTTTTAAAAAAAAAGGTTATGATGTATCATCAGACAATATTTGTTGTGGGCTGTAAAAGATTTATATGAAATCTCATCCTTACTACATTCTGTAAATTTTTCGTCTTTGTTTTCCAAATCTTTAAACTAGATGTGATCATATCATCCTGTTTTTCTTTTCATTATTTTGTCAAAATACACTTTTCTGTCCCAAAATTATAATTCAGTTTGAAATTTTATATTTTATAAAATTTAAACTAGAAACAAAAATCCAAACTGGATAATAATTATGAAATGGAGTGAGTATTACTCAATCAGATTATTTGAGATAAACAGGATATCAACAACATATATTCATCTCTTATTTTTTTCATGGTTGTCAATTTTGTTATGCATGCGATCAGAATCATGGATGGTGATGGCATGGGGGAAGAAGATCAATTTCGTGAAGAAAGTAGAAGTACATATTTTGGTGAAGTCCTTGTACATGAATAGGACTTGGGAATGGGGAAGTGTCCTTACCAAAGGATTCCCCACAAAAAGTAACCCTATTTAAGCCCTAACACAAACCGAAAGGTACCCCTATTTTTCTTACATGGAAAAGAAAGGGAACATGTCTATGGTATCTCCTTTCCTTTTCCTTGTTCTCTTTTTTCCCATCACCTACCATGGTTTGCTCCTCTTTTTAATCTTCATTTTGGCGATGTGGATTTGAGTAGACTAATATAATCTTGTGGTTAAAACCCACAAAATTTGTTTAAAAGACTAAAGTTTTGAACTATAACCCTAGGTCCAAACTTTTGTTCTGAAATAAATAATATATAGTTATATTTTGAATACATGTAATATAGTATGACTATGTAAGAGTTGTCAGTGAAGTACTCCCTCCGTCCCATAATTATTGTCCAGTTTGGATTTTCACTTTTCGTACAATTTAAACTAAAAATGAAAATCCAAACTAGACAATAATTTTGGGACTGAGGGAATGTCATAAAAGTCGATAGGTCACATATATGGGGGCGAGATGATGGTTTACGTTCGAACTCTGTCTTGTGATTATGCTTCAAATTCTTACTATCCTAGCTATCCATCATATGCCTCCCGAATCACTACTTACTTATTATGCCCTAAAATTTTTACCGACATGATCATGTGTGGTTTATAATTATGGGTAATGATTAGTGCAGGGAAAAAATGACAAGGAATTGATCATAATCGTTCATTCTTTTAACTTTCCATTTGGGGTTTAAGCATTTAAGATTAGAGTATAGTTTTGATGAATGACACATCATTCCTTGTAAGTTTTACTTGTAAATTTGCCCTGTACATATCACTACTCTATAATTATATGACTGTAATTTTTGGAAGCAAAAAGTAAATTTCACAAATTTAACTCATTTCTCAAATTTCAGTATTAGGTTTTTAATTTTTTCCACATATATTTTCACTATTCATTATGAAAAAATAATTGTACTAACCCTAAAATTATTTGAAAGAGTGATTTAATTATTCCATTATCATATCATATTAAAATGTACTACTCTGTTTCAAAAAAATAGTTCATATTAAGTTTTTAAATTTGTACTAAAAATAATACAAAACTTAAAATTCGATGTGGACTATTTTTATGGGACGGAGTGATTATTTCTTTCTCTCTCTTTTGCATAGATTGTAGGTGTCTTTACGTGATGATCTAACTGAAAGAAATGTGAAGTGTTTTAAAATGGATACACGAAATTAATATGATTCGATTAAATTGAATTTTGGTTCGTAATATGTCTAGGGTGTAGACAAAGTGACAAGCATGATGGCCCTAAAGAGAGTCGAAATCAAACGACAAATACCAGCCTTAATATTTGCCGACCCGACTGATATAAGAAAGGCTTTTTCCATTTCATGGTCAGGCACGAAGAAAAGAAAAATGGCCGGTTTAACTTAACCGACTTTCCCCAATTTTCCCTCCTTTTTTTTTTTCTCTCTCTCTCTCTCACTCCTCACTTGGCGGAACAAGTCAGCTTCCCCATTCCCAGCCATAGAACCTTCTTTCCTTCATTCATTTACCCTCCTCCCAATTTTCACCCCATTAATTTTTAATTTATCTAATTTCATTCGACAAATTACCACCATTTCTGGACAGGAAAAAGGCCAAAACTTTTACTGTTACAACTGAAAAGGACTGTTTTATTTTATTGTGTCTAAAAATGGCTAATTAATGAATAATTTGTACGTTTTGGGTTTAATGAGAAAAAATTAGTACTTGGTACTTAATTAAAAATTGGAGCTTTACAGTTAGGAGAAATGGAATCTGTTGCTCTGTTCTTAGTGTGTGACTGTGTGAAAAAAAATGGGGCCTTTTCTCTCTTTTCTCTTGGCTGCCGTTAGTGATAAGCACGCCTGGCAACTCATCATTCCCTCCAACCGGACCCTTTCTCTCTCTTCTTTTCTTTTTTCTTTTTTTTTTTTCTTTTTTTCCCTTCTTAGTTCTTACCTCACTTTCTCTCTCTATAATTTCATTACACACACAATCTGTACAATTTTTTCTTCTCTCTCTCTCTCTCTCTCCTGCTCCTAAAAGAAAAGAAACCCAGCTGTCTCTCTCTCTCCGGAACCTTTTTTATCGAACAGCCTTTTTTTCTGTTTTTGGTTAATTTGAGCTTAATTTTGTGATTAGATTGGATCTTATTGATTCTACGCCCAGCTGCTGCTTTTGATTATTAGTTTCCATTGTTCCTTCAATTCGAGGTAATTCACGAACCGTTATGGTGATCCCTTTTGGTTTCTCAAGGTGGTTCTTAATTGATTTTTGTGTTTTTTGTTTGGTTGGTTTTGGAAATTTTGTTTCTTGGGGTTTGTTTTTTTAAGCTGAATTATTGGTTAATTGTCGTGAAAGATGTGTTTTTGCTGATCTGGGATTGATCAACCTGGGTTGCTTTGGAGGTTGCAATGCGGGAATGTCTTTGTTACTTTTCCCTATGTTTCTAATTGGCCTGAATGTTAGTGTTCGCTTGTAAAACGTGCAGAATTTGGAATTTTTGTTTTTAAATTGGGTTTTGGAATTTCAAGATGATCGGCATTTGCGCGCTTCTTATTTTATTTCGGTTGGTTAGTGGATCCTGATCTCTTACAAGTACACCATTGGATTATCTCTTCTACTTCTTTTTTCTCTTCAATTCTAGCTGCCATCTGCAGTGAAAATGACATCACTGGAATGGTTTATTTTGCTAGCTTTAGATTTCTAGGCTATTCGACTGCAGTGTACTTGCTGTTATAGTCTTAATGCCAAGTACAGTCTGGAATATATAATTAAAATGCAATGTCAAACTAATGAGAGCATGTAAAAGTGCTTGTATGGGGTTACATTGTGGGGACTGTAATGGATGTTGGAACATTAGGAGCTTACGCAGTGGTTATCTAATGCTGTTATATTCTGAAAGACTTGTGGATACAGTTAGATAATTATACTCTGCATTTTCTATTCTTTTACTTTTGGAAAAATATCTTCAATGAGAGCCTAGTCTTTTTGTGGTTTTCTTGTCTTCTTTGAAAAGGCTGAGTAATAAATTCATCATAAGTCGTTATACTGCTCCAGGAAGAAAATAGTCAGCTATAAGTTAGTCATTGGATCGTGGTTGCATTTGCTCATTTCTTATTGAGCTCTTCATTCCTTAAATCAATTATTAAATTTCAGAGTCTTTAGACATATACTTGTGTTGTTCCTTTTTTATGGTGTAGTTTGTTCAGATGACGTACATAATTGAAGGTTGGATTCTGGTTTATTGAAATTTCATTTTTCAAGTTATGCTATTATGCGGACTGAATGAAAAGCCTTTCTGTCCTTCTTGATATTCTCTAGCGGTCAAATTCTAATCTCTTATGTGCAAATGTTTTATGCAGAGTGTTATCCTGGTTACTTGTTGAACATACTTTTAGAATTGTTCCTGGACCTTTACTGTGGAGAGTTTTTTGATCACCGTCTTTGTTATCTATAGACAATATGTCTGTCTCAATGAGAGATTTGGATCCAGCTTTTCAAGGAGCTGGTCAGAAGGCGTATCCTTTTTTTTTAATTTTTATTTTGTACTGTTTTTCATTATTCTTCTTCCACTTTTTATCCCCATTCAGTCCATGTGCCAGATGTCAATGTCTGAGCAGGAGTGGAAGTGTTGGAATCCCTCTTTGGCCGGTTGGTTCAGATGGTGTATCATTACACTCTTTTGTATTGCAATACATTGTCGAATAATAATTTTTGTGTATAGATGCCCATATGAATATAGGAACTGTTGTTTTGAAACCAAATTTCGCAATGTGTATCTTGCATTTTGAATTAGCCCCAGTCGTGGGACAAATGAGCTGCTGACACAGCAAAAGAAGTCACATGTGATAGTGTAAAATGAATTTCACTCTGTGTTTTTTCACTACCAATATATCTGTAGTATCTTGTCTTTGAGGAACTCAATTATTTTTCCTAAACTGCAAATAGCGGAATCGAAATTTGGCGGATTGAGAACTTTCGCCCTGTTTCTGTTCCAAAGCCTTCGCATGGAAAATTCTATACTGGAGACTCCTATATAGTTTTGAAGGTAAATTTGTATGCTGGGTGATTTATTGTTTTTTATTTGTTTATTGACGTCTTTCATTGCAAGAGTTTGTTGCCTACTTCATATCTTTCGCTTGTCTGGATTCCTGTATGTATCAATCTGTTTTTCCATGACTGCTGTGTGTATAAATATGCATATAGTGATGCATATGTAGTGATGCATATTATATGAGCATTTACCTGCTGCATTGATGCTAATAAGAGTGACAATTGTACTTACGGACCAGTATTTGTGACCTATTTCTGTTTGCTCTGAAGTTTGGAAGTAGGTTCTTACTACCGGAAATAGTTAGGCTGGCATTAGGATGTCAGGATGTTCAGTGGATTTTTTAGTCTTTGCTTTCCTTGTGAGTTCATGTTGCTTTTTTCGTAGCTTCACAGTGAAGTTTGAGTTTGCTTTAAGTTTGTTTCCCAAGCATGTTCAGGGTAACTTTCCGATATAATTGAAGAAAAAATTGTTTTTAATGGTGGTGCTACTGGACTATACCATGATCCTCCGAGTTGCTGTCAATCTGTTCTTTATAGGGGAAATTTAGTTGCAGTGTTGGGCGAGATTACTGTTTTGTGGCCTACTATTTTACTGAATATTGCAGCATTATTTACTATACATCTTTCCATTTTGTGCTGCTGAAGTCTCCAATTTGTCCTGTTTATATATGATCTTTAATGTAAAGAACGTCTGAGTCTTGACAAGCATATGCAGTTTGACTGATTCAGGATAAGACACTGTACAAAATTATTGCTCTATATTGCCTGACCATTATGACATTTTTAATCATTCTTTATTTTTTGGTGAATCATGCACTTAGAGAAATTGAAGTGATTTTAACTTTCTGTAGGTAGTCAGTAACACGTGGTGTTACAGGCTGAGGCTTATCAAATTCTTAGTTTTGTTGTTCATGAAAAAGTTTGCTTTTGTTGTACAACATGGTAGTAAAGCTGTAAAGGCAAAGTGAGAAATTTTCTTTTCATTCTTGTTCAGTAGTTAATTCTAAATTTTGACATTTTTATAAAACTTAAAAACTTTACTGCTTGAGATGTGCTGAAGTATATATATAAAGATGTTTGGTTTCTGAGTTCTCTTTTACTATCTTGAATATTATTATGCCCGTCCCTTATGTTTGGAAATCTTGAACCAGTAAAACTTATTGTTCCTTGCAGACTACTGCACTTAAGAGTGGTGCTCTGCGCCATGATATTCATTATTGGCTGGGTAAAGATACTTCTCAGGTCAGTTTCCATGTGATTAATTTTATGTTTTTCTCTGATTTATGCTATAGGAAATATTCTGGTTTCAATTTAAATGGGGAAATACTGTTTCTTGCAGGATGAAGCTGGAACTGCAGCTGTTAAAACTGTTGAATTAGATGCAGCTCTTGGTGGCCGTGCTGTTCAGTATCGTGAAGTACAAGGTCATGAAACTGAGAAGTTCCTTTCTTATTTCAAACCATGTATTATTCCTCAAGAAGGTGGAGTAGCTTCAGGCTTCAAGCATGCAGAGGCTGAAGAGCATGTAACCCGGTTGTATGTATGCAAGGGAAAGCATGTTGTTAATGTAAAAGAGGCAAGTTTTGAGGTTGTTACAAGAGTAAAGTCAAGAGCATCAGTTTCCATTTGCTAACCATTTCTCTTTGTACAGGTTCCCTTTGCTCGGTCATCCTTGAACCATGATGACATCTTTATTCTCGACACCAAATCTAAAATTTTTCAGTTCAATGGTTCCAACTCATCTATCCAAGAAAGAGCCAAAGCATTGGAAGTTGTCCAATACATTAAAGATACTTACCATGATGGAAAATGTGAGGTAGCAGCAATTGGTGAGTGGCTTGTTATACAGACGCGAAGAAAGTATATTAGCGAGCAATTCAATTTATCTGTGTTTTCTTTTGGTTTAGAGGATGGAAAATTAATGGCGGATGCTGACACTGGAGAATTTTGGGGGTTTTTTGGTGGCTTTGCTCCACTTCCAAGGAAAACTACCAATGATGAGGCTATAAGTACAGATGATCATTCCACCAAATTGTTACGGTACATGTTCCATCCATGTAGGTTTCTTTAGGGCAGCTGTAGTAGTTCTCCAGAAACACGATGAGATCAGTCCAAAATTATGATTTTCGTAATGGATTTCATAAAGCATCATGGCTGTTTCATCTTAATGCATTTTGTATCCTCAATATATTTTATATTTGCTATGCTAGAATTGAAAAGGGACAGGCGGAACCTATTGAAGCTGATTCTTTGACGAGGGAGCTGTTGGAGACCAATAGATGCTATATCCTTGACTGTGGTACAGAGTTGTTCATCTGGATGGGAAGAACTACATCTCTTGATGAAAGGAAAAGTGCAAGCAGTGTTACCGATGTAATATTTCGGTCCCAATACTTTAGAAACAATTTATATCTCCACTGTTTTATCCTTTTCTTACTTAAGTTTTATTCAAATAATTACATTATAGGATTAGTATCCTTTTCTTACTTCAGTTCTATTAAACAATTACATTATAGGAGTACGTTCGCAGCCTGGATAGACCAAAATGTCATGTCGTGCGCGTTATTGAGGGGTTCGAGACTGTGATGTTCCGCTCAAAGTTTGATTCTTGGCCTCAGACAACAAACGTAGCTGTCTCTGAGGATGGAAGGGGCAAAGTTGCTGGTAAGTAACTGCAAACGTTAAATGAAATGTTTTTCTTGCCGAGTAATGGTACCCTTTTGCCTCCCTAGTGCCAGGAGGTTTGTTGAAAACTATTTTCATGATTACTTTTTCTTGTCACTTGTACTTTGAGCTTTAAGTGGAATGCTGATCCGAAGTTACGGTTACGTGCTTTAGTATTTTCCTTTTCAAAAATTTTGAACAAAAAGAAGCTTTTAACTTATAGAGTGGTTTTTGGGGAATTGATATGGTAACACCAGAGAATCTGTAATAATTAAACTGGAAGCAGGGCATTTTCTGGTCTTAAAATTTATTGTCTTTGTGTACTATCCTTTCTTCTCAACTTCTTTAAACTAACTCTACATCTCAATAATGATTCTCTAGCTCTTCTAAAGCGTCAAGGGGTTAATGTGAAGGGCTTATTGAAGGCTACACCACCCAAGGAAGAACCTCAGCCACACATAGACTGCACTGGCAATCTGCAGGTAATGCCAGCAAAGCTTCTTTGGATCTGTTTGCTATTTTAGAACATCTAGAAGCATCTTGCTCTTAAGTGGCATCTGGGTGTGTATTGCATCATATAAGAAAAATCTAAGCTTTTATCACATAATGTGGAATTGGCTATATGGAGCATATCTGACCAGAGTGTGTATATATACACTTCATTTCTTATAGTTTCTTTCTTAATCTTGGTAGGATTTTTCGTTTCCCTTGTTTATTAAAATTCATATTTCTCTTTTTCTCCATGCTGTGCTGCTAGCTGCCCTCACTTTCTCTGTTGTGGTTTAACATACTTCATCTAGTTTATTATCCCCTATGTCCATCTCGGCATTCTCAAATCTGCTATTCTTTTTTTTGGTTAAGGTGCATTTACGGTTCCCAAAACTTTGTTTAGAGTACATACTTAGTTCCCATGATTCCATCTATTCCTATTTTATAAATTTTCTTATCAGTTTTGGTGATGCTTCGTTCATCTATGTAATCTTGCATTATGTGACTGATTCGTTTCTATTATTCTGCTGCTTGCTGGAAAATTTTCATTGGCGCCAAGAGCACCATCGCATCCCATGAACTACAATTACATCCAATTTTCTTGATTAATGATGAATTATTCATGGTCTCTTTGCAGGTTTGGCGTGTAAATGGAGAAGAAAAGGTTCTTCTTTCATCTTCAGATCAGTCGAAGTTTTACAGTGGAGACTGTTACATTTTCCAATATTCTTATCCGGGGGAAGATAATGAGGAAGTTCTGATTGGAACTTGGTTTGGGAAGCAGAGTGTTGAGGTGAAATTCAGATCTTTTTATGCTATTGACAATGTATTTCAAGTGCCTGAAGAATCTTCCTAAATGAATGCTTGCATGCATCGACTACAACTGAAAAATCCCATCATTAAGTGACATCGTTTTCTACCTCAATTTCACCAGAGGATTAACAGATAACCTTCTTTCTCTCTTACAAAATCTCTGGTTTTTTTTTAAAAAAAAAAATAGGTAAAAAAATCAGATGTTACCTTACAAAATTCTTGTGAATTTGCAAGTGATATGTTTATCCTGTCTATTTTTAAACTGACAGCATTTTTATATTCTCTTGGAGAAAAAAGTCAAGGAAAAAAAGTAAAATTAAAAATCATACCTTTGTTAGTTATTGATCATGTTCAAAATTCAATTCAGGAGGAGAGAGTCTCAGCAACTTCACAGGCAAGCAAAATGGTTGAAGGGCTTAAGTTTCTAGCTACTCAGGTGATCCTTGTGCTTTATGTGATACTTATAGTGGTGAACAGTTTTTCTTTATTATTTTATTGATTGCTTATTTGTGATGGATTTTCAGGCTCGCATCTTTGAAGGAAGTGAACCCATCCAATTTTTTGCCATCTTTCAGAGCTTTATTGTTTTTAAGGTATGTTGGTCAGATGTCTGGTTCCCGGAGAAACTTCTATTTTGGCTTGGAAAGTTTGCACTTGTTTAATTGAGTGCATTAATTTCACCAGGGTGGTCTTAGTGATGGGTACAAGAAGTACATAGCAGAAAAGGAACTTCCTGATGACACATACACAGAGGACGGGCTTGCCCTATTTCGAGTTCAGGGTAGTGGGCCTGAGAATATGCAATCAATTCAAGTTGAACCCGTAAGTTTGGTGCTCTGGTTCCATCCTTCAACAGGAAAAAATGTGCAGCATTTCCTTATAAATAAGACTGTAGAAAGGTATATGTGATGGGGTGTTTGTTAGAGCCTTTAGGCAAAATAACTGAAAAGGGTTCCTAATATGGTCTCCAAATGATAAAGTGCACTGCCGGCCTTGCATCTATATAGGCATGGTGTTCCCTGTACTGCTCACTTCTCTTCAAATCACGTTGCTTGAAGATTTCTGCTGAATCATACTAATGCATTATGTGACTTTAAAAAATGAGCCATGTACTTGTTTCTTTGATCTGTGTTTCTTGCTCTGTATAAATCTTTTGCGTTTGGATCCTTAAGTATTTGATTTGGCTCCTTTTATCAGGTGGCCTCATCCTTGAATTCATCTTATTGTTACATACTACACAATGGTTCTACCATCTTTACATGGTCTGGAAACCTGACAACTGCTGAGGACCAAGAGCTTGTTGAGAGGCAACTGGATTGCATAAAGGTTCGATGGGGTTAAGAGTGTTTTCTTTGCCTTGGTCATTTAATCATCTTGAGTGTTCTAAGTTTCCTTGATTTCTTGAGTTGCACAAATCTCAAATTTGCATTAAGAGGGAGAAGGGAAAGATCATTCTGTCGTCCTATCTCTTTCTTTTCTTTCCTTTTTCTTGATATGGAAACAACATTTTGAAATGATGATGGTTTGTATTTCTCTTGCCAGTTGCTTCATGATTCATTTCTTTTTCTTTCTCTTTTTTTGCAGCCCAATATGCAGAGCAAAGTGCAAAAGGAAGGTGCAGAATCTGAACAATTCTGGGAATTGTTGAGTGGGAAGTCTGAGTATCCTAGCCAAAAGATTGGGAGGGATGCTGAAACCGATCCTCATTTGTTCTCATGCACTTTTTCAAAAGGTAGAGCGCAGTATTGTTTGTGCATTACATTTGCTAAATGCTGAACTGAAGTTTAATTTACTAATTTGATCCTTTCTGTTCACTGTGATTGATCTTTGCTGCATGATGCTGCTCTTCAGGAAATCTGCAGGTTTGTTCCTCCCTTGCTTTTCGTTAATCCCCTACCTTTCTTTTAACAAAGCTTTCAAGCAAGCCAAGAATTTAGTGGTTGGAAATTTTATGGTTGAAATGTATATTTCATTTCTCGTTGAGCAATGAATGGGGTATAAGTTTTGATCTTATTTGTGAATGAACTCCTTTCATCTCAATCTGTAACTTCTATCCATCTTGCAGGTCACTGAGGTATACAATTTTAATCAGGATGATCTAATGACGGAAGACATTTTTATCCTTGACTGTCATACAGATATCTTTGTCTGGGTCGGCCAAAAGGTCGACTCCAAGCAAAAGATGCAGGCTTTAACTGTTGGAGAGGTACCATTTTCTCCCATGAATAATATGTTGGCCGTATAAGTTACTTTGGGATCTGGATAGATATCCGCTACAGAGTGCAATAAAATTATGTTTTTTTGTTCAGTTTAGGAGAGGATTGCTGTTTACTCTGAATCAATTGTTATCCTAGGAAGTCATATTTGCTTATGTTGATTCTATTCCTGGAATGTACGAATAGCCTCGTTAGCTTTTATTAATAAGCAATGGTAACTCTAATTACCTTGGAAAAATTTCACGAAGTGATTCGTTTTGTTCCAAGCTGGCCTGGTTTTGGGTTGAAGTGAGATGTTCTGTGTTGAGATAGTTTCTGGAGTCCTATTTTACGTACTTTTTAAGCGTTTGTCTTGGATATTTTTAGTTTCAATCTGGGGATCGCTTCCTATCTTCTTGACTTTTTGGATTGGTGATGATGAACAAATTTTTATTCATGCTTTGGTTCTTAAATTGCTGTAATCCAACAGAAATTTCTGGAACGTGATTTTCTTCTCGAGAAATTATCCCTCCAAGCTCCAATTTATATAGTGTTTGAAGGGAGTGAGCCGCCTTTCTTTACTCGATTCTTCAACTGGGATTCGGCAAAATCCGGCGTAAGCAATCTCTCTTCGAGCTTGAGATTCAACTTGTTCTTAATCTTTTCTAATTGTATTGTTGTTTTGCATGATTGTAGATGCATGGGGACTCGTTCCAAAGGAAACTTGCTATAATTAAAGGTGGTAGAGCTCCTCAAATTGATGTAAGTCTCTGTCTCTCTCTCTCTCTCTCTCTCTCTCTCTCTCTCTCTCTCACACACACACACACACACACACAGAGACGCACACGCACACACACACACCCCCGCTTAATCAATTCTGCCACATATAAAGTTTGCAGTTTGCAATAGAGCACAAAACTCTGTCTTTTCCTTCAGTTGTGTCATAACCTTCATCAAGCTTTGACTTTTTCACTGTAACTGTTTTTGCCTACTTTTCTCATGTGTGCATTGCATTTTTAGAAACCCAAAAGGAGAACACCTGTATCATATGGAGGAAGGTCTCCAGCACCAGAAAAATCACAACGTTCAAGAAGCATGTCTTTTAGTCCCGACAGAGTCCGTGTGAGAGGAAGATCTCCCGCCTTCAATGCATTAGCTGCAAATTTTGAGAATCCAAATGCAAGGAATCTTTCAACTCCACCACCAATGGCAAGAAAGATATTTCCAAAATCTGGATCTGCAACTCCTGATTCAGCCCAAGCAGATTCCAGATCTGCAGCCATTGCAGCACTTACTGCAAGTTTTGAACAACCTGCACCTGCTCGGGGAACTCTTATACCTCGCTCTGTTAAAGGTCCTACAGCTCAAATTTCATTGCAATAACCTGTCTGGTTACTTCAGACTGAACTAAAACATTTCGTATTCCTTGTACAGTTAGTCCAGAGACCCCTAAATCAAAATTGGAGGCGAATTCCAGAGAAAATTCAACTGGAAGTTTGACAGAATCTCCTAAAGTTAAACCAGAGACAATACAGGAGGATGTGAAAGAGGGCGAGGCTGAAGATGATGAAGGCCTCCCAGTACACCCTTACGAACGCCTGACGATCAATTCAACTGATCCAGTCCCTGAAATCGATGTGACGAAGCGGGAGGTAATATTTAAGCATACACGCTCTATTGAATTTTTGTAATGTCCTGAAATATGTTACTTAAGCTGATGCAATGTTATGCAGACTTATTTGTCTTCCCAAGAGTTCAAAGATAAGTTTGGAATGACCAAGGCTGCTTTTTATAAGTTGCCAAAGTGGAAACAGAACAAAATGAAAATGGCTCTTCAATTGTTCTAATCTGCTGAAGACGTAGGAACCTATCTCAGGTTGTGATCCATCTACTGCAGATGAAGAAAAAGCTTGCTTGGAAACCTGTAAGACTTGTCTTGCCCTAAGAGAAGATAATGGGTCTGATGTAAAATCTGCGTTGCTAAAATCTTATCTTTGTTTGCGTTTTTCAGGGTATCAATTTTTCAACTTTGCTAGGGACAGCATTGGTGCATTTTTAGCTGCTGCTGCTCCGAAGAGGCTTGTTTCCATATTTTTGGAGGACAGTCAGGAATATCATAAATTTTTTTTTTTTTTTTTTGCGGTTTGAGTGCATAGAGTCCAGTTAATTTATTATTCTTCCCAATTATCCGAGTTAGTTGATTTTTATTTTTTATTTTCTCATTTTCTGGCAACAGGTTTGGTGAGCTTGCATTTTTGTTTACATTTTCCACGCAATTTTTCCCCCCTCTTTTAGATTGTTTATTGAGCAGAGTTACTAGGGAGTTTGCAAATGCAAACTGTTTAGGTTATGTTGTATTTAATGGTATAAGAAGTGTGTACAGGTCCTACAGGATACCAAACTATTTATTCAGTCAATAAAAAGTGTGATTTTTTCTTTTTTGCTCAATTCACTTTCTTCTTGTTCACCGTTCCTCTTTCTTCGTTCCCCTTCTTCGCAAACTTCGTTCCCTTCCTTGTTTGTTTCTTTTTCTTGATGGTATTTTCAAATTAAATTATTATTAACTGTCTCATTCCAGCATATTTTTCTATATTTTCAATACATTTTTTTTATATCTTAAATACAAAAAATACTTAAAAAAACAAAACAAACAAGCATGAGTACATACATAATTATTATTTTGAGACGGAAAAACTTCAGATCATCACTATATCTGTATTTCAGAGATAAGCTGGACCCGGGTTCTGTATTGCTCAACATATTCGTATCGATTGATCATCATATTCTTTTTTTTTTTTTTTTAAATAGATTTTGTGCTGCACGTTACAAGTTGCTACAATTAACGTCACATTGCAGCTTATGCTGAAAGTTAAGCCATCAATATTGGGATCAAATACGAAGTAGAGAGGTTACTAAATTGAAAAATTTAGCTTTGATTCATCATGTGCTCATCCATTCACCCTAATCATATATCACAATTAGAAAACTTTCAGGTGCACCACATAAACTTTCATAAAACTAGAGATTTGACTCGTTTTAAGCGACGACTGTGCTAATCAAAGAACCTCAGAATTACAAAACCCAAAATTACAAACCAAGATCTTGCTATGAATACACAAACAAAAGGATTACAGAAGCTCCTGAACATATTTTCTGGCGGCTGCCCTTCCCCAAGAAGGTGTGTGATTATCTTTATAAGGCTAATGAATAAGAATGTGCTAAAATATATGATAGTATGATAAGCAATTGAGTTTATGCACACAACATTTTACAAAGTAGTATACAACAGGAAACTAATCAAACTGGAAAACCAGTCATAACTTAAACAGGGGCAAGAGTCTCAATGAACTCATAAGCATCATAACATCCAAACTTTAGCAAACCCTTCCTGGAAAAATGATGCCTCCTCAAATTAACAATGTCAACAAAACTCTTATCCTTCAACTTGTAAGCGACAACCTTTCCAGGAACATGAAACACCAGCAGCGAATCGCCATTTTCACCGGTGACCACGCCAAGCACAGAAATGGCAGAGTCATTTGTATCTCCATATCTCAAATCAACTTCCCTCCTCCTCATCTCCGGATATGCATACACAATATCGTTGAAGTCCACACGATACCTCAACGACCAACCAGAACAATCATCTTCCATCTCGAAGATCCTCAGTTCGGAATCAGATGATTGGTTCAAGTACATTGTAATGAAATGCAGGTGGCCATTTGAGTTACCAAAGTAATAAGTGTCACTCACATGATCACCCCTCCATCTTCCTTCCCAAGGAAGTCTCATACTCCGGCCAACAGAATCCTTATCCACATCAAAATGATATAATTTCCTGCCCTTCTCTCTAATCCAGTGAATTTTACCATTCCAATAGACCCCGTCACAAAACTTAACATCATAAGGCATAAGAAAACTTTTTGCCCCATTGCCAAGCTTCCAAGATTGAATTTTGGAATCATAAACTGCAACTTGATATACATACAGAGAGCAAGGATCAGGGTAAACGCAGATGATCTTATAATCAAGCGAGTTTGAGGGATCATAAGCCAAGTTTATTCCCAAAATTCCCTGCCGCCTTTGACTCTGGGAATTGTTCTGAGGCAAAAAATTGAGGGAAAGGAATCTGTTCTGATGGGTGGCAGGATTGTAAACATAATAATCACCGGGGAGATTGCGTGTATTTTGTGGTACTTTTAAGAGAAACAATCCATTGCAGGATTGTAAAATTTTAGTCCGGAAATTGGGGTTGGCGGCTGCAATAGATTCGTGGATCACATCAGAAGTGAGATTAAATTTAAAACTTCGCATCTTTGATGGTTTGGTGAAAAGGGGTAAGATGTAAAAATCAGAAGGGGATTTGCGGAGGCAGAGGGCGGAGGCGGCGGTGGTAGGGCGGTGGCGGCGAGTGTGAAGAAGACAGAAATGGGAGCTGGAGATTAGGGAGAACCAACGCTTGGAGACAGATTTGAATCGGATTAGGGCTTTTGTGGGTAAATAAAGGAGCAATTCAATCAAAAGATCATCGTTGCCGACGATAACTGCCGCCGCAGAGGGCGAGCTTCGATTTCGGGTTGATTTCGTATTCGGAGGACCCATTCGACCCAAAAACAAGGATCCAAGTGATCACAAATATAAATAATAGAGAAAATTTGCCGGGAAGAAATTTTTACGACGTCGTTTTTTGTTCCTTCGTATGTCAATTTTTTGGCCGCTAGATCCTTATCTCCGCGGTCCGGAGGACTTTTAAACCAAAATCATATCCAATTTGGATCATTATACGCCAATTCCGGCGCCACCATTCACCGGCAGAATTCCTTCCGCCTATTCCATCATCAACTCCATTTTTTGAGCATCATATAGTCGGCGCTTTTTACGTATTTACTGTTCCGCCTGCACCGCCTACCTCATCAACCGCCGTTGCTGTTCGGACTCCGGCGGGCAGACCCCATCGTCGTTAGCTCCGGCACTGATTTCCACTATCCTGTTTTCTTCTTCCTTCCTCTGTTGATACTGCTGCTTTCCTCCTGCTCCGGTTCTGGGCCGATGGTATGGCAATGACGGGAGTGGCTTCGGTGTATTCGTCCCCGCTCTCTCACTCACTTTTGCCTTGTCTCCGCCGCCGTCTAATTTCGGATCATTTCTCTCCTCCGTTCAGCTGTTTCCACAGGTTTGTCGTTTCCCATTATCACCGGCATATGTTTTCTTCAAGTCCATTTAAACCTCCGGCAGCGGCTATTTTTGCTCAGGCAAGACGGGGATCCTCCTCTTCTTCCAAATCCAAAGAAGAAGAAATCGCCACTCCGGCCGATTTGCAATTCGATGCGCCGCTTAAAATCGTGGAATATCCTGACCCGATTTTGAGAGCAAAGAATAAGAGAATCAACACGTTCGACGACAACCTGAAGAAGTTAGTAGACGAGATGTTCGACGTAATGTACAAGACAGATGGCATTGGACTTTCAGCCCCACAAGTGGGCAAAAATGTGCAGCTTATGGTGTTCAATCCTGTGGGTGAACGAGGACAAGGAGAAGAAGTTGTCCTCGTGAACCCGAAAATTAACCGGTATTCGAAAAAGGTGGAGCTTTACAATGAAGGTTGCTTATCGTTTCCTGGGATCAATGCTGATGTTGAGAGGCCAGAATCTGTTCGAATTGATGCTCAGGATATCAAAGGAGAGAGCTTCTCGTTTCATTTGAATGAACTTCCTGCTCGGATTTTCCAGCATGAATACGATCATTTGCAGGGAATCCTTTTCTTCGACAGAATGAGTGAAGATGTCCTTGAGGGCATCCTGGCAGATTTGCAGGCTTTGGAAAAGAAGTACGAGGATAGAACTGGATTGCCAAGCCCTGAAAAAGCAGAGGCCCTGAGAAGGAAAAAGAGAACAGCTGCCGTTGGGTTTGGAAAATCATAAGCCAGTAGTATTGATTTTGAAATGAAGGCCTCACACTTCTTGCTGCCAGAGAACTGGTCATTCTATACATACATTGACTCATGGGTTTCTGCTGTCAAGACTCAAGAAGTCGATAAGTCTGTCATATTGTAAGATTCTACTAACATTATCCTGAACTGATTCCTAAGAACTAAAGCGATTATACAACTCCAATTTCATCAGTCTCTTACTTGAGTATGGACCAAATTACATAGTGAATCTTGCTGTACACTTCTGTGATTATACCGGAAAACCTCTCCTGGATCGCATGTCATCGTCTTCTAGCTTCATTTTCAGCTTTTAACATTTGAGTTCTCTTTATATGATTTGCTCATAACAATCCATCCATATATGCAACAATAATCAAGCTCTAGTGCGGAAATGATTCGTTGATTCGTTTCAAATATTATAGTGTTTTTTTTTTCCTCCTTTTGTGTTAAAATACATTTGAAGGAATTTTTTTAAAAAATAATTTTATTCTGTGTTCCTCCATTTAGATATAAAAGTTACATTTTTGTTATTTTCAAAAAAACAAATGCACTTCTCAATTCGGTCAGCTCTAATCTAACGTTCGTTTTAGATAACAATGTCATTATCAATTTCATAGCTTGTAGTTGTCTTTGTGATTAAGTAAACCACCAAGAAGTCAAAAAAAAAATTAAAATAATAATAATAATTATTATTATTATAATAATAATAATAATTATATACCTCAAAAGATTCTTTATATTTATTATGAGGTTACCAACAAAATTATATTAAGAAAAAAGCGTGTGCATTTTTTTTTTAATTTTTCGAGTACTTGATTGATTATAGTAACTAATAACAAGTAGTATAGTATTTTTTTAATTAAAAAAAAATGGCATCCAAAGTACTTTCTTACTACTTTTCTAAAATACGCGTTTTGTATTTTAGTAGCTCTAGAAGAGGGTATCTTTTGCATTAATAATACATATTTAGAGCAAAAGGAAAAAGTAACAATTTTATATCGAAACAGCAAAATATATATTTTGGGATAGTAAGAGCAAGATATACTTTTTGTTAAAAAAAATTATTTAGAGAAATAACCAAAATGAAAAAATAATAATAAAATAAAATAAATCAAAGAGAAGGAAAAAAAAGAAAATAGAGCTTTATTAACATCTATAAGGAGGTAAATTTTACGGTATATTTGGTGGCTTTCATATCAAAAAACACTGAGATCGCAATAATATATAAATACACAAATTCAAGTGAAAACCTAATTTAGTCACAATATTTATATATACTATATTAAGGCAAAAATCAAATTTAGTCACAATATTTATATATACTATACTAAGGCAAAAATCATAGAGAAAAATCTAAAGTTAAGGAGCACATACTACATAGGATTTTATCCTATGTAGCATTTTCTTAATTTTTTAGATATAAAAATACACAATACAAAATAATAAAACCCAAAAAAAAAAAAACGCAACTGAAAAAGTCCAAACCCTATATTGATTCGACCAAATCCCTGCGAATTTGATGGACGGATCTCTTCCTCCTAAAAAAAAATGCAACTGAAAAAGAATTTTATGTTAATAATTTATTAAAATAATTAAAGAAGTTAGGCCAACATGAAACTTCTATAATTTAGCTTCAAATATGGAATTGAGTTAAAATACTATGATGATGGGTTGATGTAGCGGGGCTAAGAAATCAAAAGTCACTCCGAAACAAGGAATAAAGATCATGATATCCAACTCTTTATTTTTTTAATTTTTCTTATTAAAAAATTGGATGGCCTCTACAACAAGTTAGGGTTATTGTTTCTGTAGTAACTATTTCTTATCATAAACCTTTTCAAAAATAAAAAAATAAAATTTCTTATCGTAATTTTTTAATCACCCTAGTCGACCTTTCCACCCCAGACTATCACTATAGTCTACCAAGAAATATTACACGATATATATTTATTTAATTCAAAGTTCATTTTTTTTAATTTTTTAATAATATTTTTTGCGTTAAATAAATTACCAGTGTATTCGTTTGGTAAAGTGTTGTTGATGTTTGTGTTTTATATTTTTTGATGAATTCATTATATATTTTATAAAAATAAAAAAATCAATACAAATATTAACATTTTTTTGATTTGTTTATGTAGTAATGTTTCTGTATATGTGCTCCTGGTCCATCGGACGGGTCTAACACTTAGTAATTGAATTTACACAATTTCATAATGTAATTATCAAATCGAAAAATCACAAAAAAGGGGGTAAAAGGTGTAAAATTCCATTTTGGGAAAAAAAAAAATTCATGAACATATGTGTTTCCATCCAATGGGGAATCGGAATTGAACAAAAAAGTCCCAACACTCGAAACCAAAATAAAAAAATAAAATAAAAAAACTCGGTATACGGTAAAAGAAAAAACACAAAGAAGGAAAAGAAATAACAGAGGGGAAAGGAATCAAAAACAAAAAGGGAGACGAATCTGAAAGGAAGATTTTGGAAAATTCTGGTTATTGTTTAAGTTGTTAATACACACAAACCCAGCCAGAATTTTGTTTCCCCAAATTCACCGGCAAAGAAATTTCCGTACTCCTTTGACGGAGTCCCCAGTCAATTTATCCTCCTCATCATCATCACCATCATCGCCATCGTCGTCGTCATCCTCAATCGCGTTTCTTTGCTTAGATTCCTTCGCCTTTTTCCCCCTTCATTCCTTCCTTCCTTCGATTCCCCCATTCCATATTTCCCAATTTTCCTATACCTTTTGATTCCCAAAAAAAAAAAAAAATTGATTCTGTGATATTTGATTCCGTAGCCCAAATTCTGCAATTTCGTTGCTGTTCGTAGGAGCCGATCAAGTGATTTGATTTGTTGTTTGTAAGTTTTTGTCGTTCGAGAATTTTGCTTTGTCGGTTGCTTTATTATATCTCGATAAGGATTGGGTTTTTATGATGTAATTGAGTTAAATTTTGCTTTGGGTGAAACATTTTATTTGCTATTATGATGATTTTACAGAGTTGGAGACAAAAAAGAGAGAGAGGGATGCAGAGCCAGATTGTGTGTAGTGGATGTAGAAGCTTATTGATGTATCCGCGGGGCGCCACAAATGTGTGCTGCGCTTTCTGTAATGCCATCACCGCTGTGCCCCCGCCTCAGCTCCCACCCGGTATCTATCCCTTTTGCTCCGTTTTGAGCATTTAGCATTTTAGTTGCTTAATTATGCTTCATCTGGCTCAATATCTTGTTAAGTTTGTGAATCAGAACTTTGATTGCTCAATGAACGGTAGGACTCAGTTTTACATAAACGAAGTTTAAGATCTTACGAATTTATTGGTGGTTTGTCTTGCCGAATAGGCATGTTTTATGATTCTGGAGTACCACAGGATTAGATACTGGTGGGGGACTTATACTTTTTTGCTTTAGTTTGGTTTGGGCATGTGTAAACATTCTTAGTGATCGACAAGTCTGACATATACTCTTTTCTAGTTTATCATTATGCTACAAATTTACAGCTTGCAATAAATGTTTGTTTGAGGCATGAATTTGTGTTTGTCTTACTTTGTCAGGAATGGAAATGTCCCAGATTGTATGCGGCGGTTGCCGCACTCTTTTGATGTATGCACGTGGTGCGTCAAGTGTGAGATGTTCCTGCTGTCACACGGTGAATCTTGCACCTCCACCAGGTACACTATCTAAGTTTTCTAGGATAATGTGCAGAATTATTTTGGTTTCTCCCTATTTATGCACACTGCTTTGACTGTCAAGTGGGATTTCTATCGTTCTAGTGGATGATATGAAACAGGAAAACTTCCCTTTTAAGAAATAAATCGATTTAAATTCCCCTCTCTGACTGCCAAAATACATCGAATATTTTTAATAATTTTTCAATGACAATCTTACCCTCGTTGAAATGCCGTGTTAGTCAATCTCCTTTCTATACAACATTCAATGATTGATTGGAATTTCATGATATAGAAATATCCCAGCCTTTATTGCTCATACCAAGTTTATACTCCCAATCCATATCTTCTTCGACGAATGTAGTTGTCTTCCCTCCATCTTTACATTATTGCTCGTACAGAAACTCAATCCCAGAATCATTTCTTTGCTTTATATTGTTTTCTATAAGGAGATGGGGCCAGTTTTTTGTATTCAATGAAGTTGTGACTCATCATAGGTTTCTTGGGTCCTACTCCTATCGCCGATGGCTTTTACTTCAATGATTTTAGGATTAGAGGAATGGATTTGTACCTTTATGGACAATCAGAGTAATGGATCACATAACTCATTCAGATCCCCAATTTAGAAGATAGTTAATCCTCCAAGTCCTTGATTTTGTCGAGGCTATCCGCCATCAGTTGTATTCGGTACTGTTCTTTTTGTGAAGGGTTGATTGTGATTGGAAAATCATTAAATATATTCCACTTATTATTGCGCCTTCAAGTGGAATTTGAATAGGAATTGTAAATCTGGGCATGCCCTTTGAAGGGAATTTTCGTTACAAAGTACGTGTTATACTCCTTTGTTTGTTTTACCGGTTTAATATTTAGTCTTACTTTGTGATATTTTGTCTTTCCATGGAGTAGTTTTGCGGAAAGGTTGAGGGTAATAGCAGACTTTGCGATGATGATTTTGGTGGTTGTCCTTTCTATAGAATTTGAATTTGTAATGGTCTTGCAATATTTTAATTTTGTTTTCACTTAAGAGTTTGAAGGGTATTTATTATGTTTGTTTGATTTCTGTAAAAAAATTACTCTGCCAGATGTCTGGTGCAGTTTGAAGAACTGAGAGCCAGCTACATATTTACCTTCTAAAAATTGTAGTACTGGAGGAGTCAGAAATTGAGAGAATGACACGTTTTCTATTAGGAGTTCAGTTAATTGGCTGTTTGGCTTAATGAAAACCTTTCTGATTTGCATGAATTCCATTTTTTTAGTAACTTTTCTCCATTTGCAGTTTAAATAGATAGTTGTAACTTTTGTCTTTTCTTTGGTTTCTTTTATGGATGAAAGCTACTACTAATGTTGCTCACGTCAACTGTGGAAATTGCCGCACAACACTTATGTACCCATATGGCGCTCCCTCAGTCAAATGTGCCATTTGTCATTATATCACCAATGTTGCTGTGAGTATATTGGATATCTATCTTTGTTCTCATAATCTCATTACTTAATGATGCATCTAGTCCTTCATTGTTATTTCCTTTGTTTTGGTGCTATTTGTTTTAAGAATTTTGTTAAGAGTTTAGTGATGGGACTACGTTGTCTTTTTGCTTTTTCCTTTTGTGACGCTGGCCTTCTGTTACTTTATCTTAACTATCAATGAGTAATATGCTTGGCAAGAGTTCTTCTGTGTGAGCAATATGTACTTTTATCATTTGTGTTGCCTTTTGCTGCTTCAGTTTCAGTAGATATGGTATCTGTTGCTTCATGGTGCGCATGATTTTAGAACGTAACAATTATAATCTTATTGATGACTTCTACAACCATTGAACTGCTTATTTTAGCCTAGCTTTGAGATCATTGGACAGTCAAAATTTTGTAAATCTGTTATTTAATCTTGGAGATGTATAAATGTCCCTTTTGCAGTATTATCCATGAAACAGTTTCTTTTGTGATAATTTAGTTTTATCCGGTGTACTCGTGATTGTAGATGAATAATGTGAGGGTTCCAATTCCCATGCACCAGTCTACCGGGGCGCCAACGTCAGCACCAATGCCCTCTACTTCAGCTGTGAGTTTCTCAGATGTGCTGCTAGATTCTTGAAGGATGTTAAAACTGTCTTTGCATTTTTTTAATGACCATCTGTGATTCCATTGCAGGGTTTGACCAATTCTCAGAGTCAAACTGTTGTTGTGGAGAATCCTATGTCTGTAGACAAAAGTGGAAAATTGGTAAGTTTTGTGCTGGATTGCAGGACTTCGTTACATGGGATAAATCTGAAGATTATTATATTTTCATTGTAGCATTTTGAACCCGTCATGCTTTTATGTGTATTTCAGGTGAGCAATGTTGTGGTTGGTGTCACTACAGAGAAGAAATGACGCAAGAAAGAGGGTGATCCTGCCCTTGCGGTGTTGCAAGGCAGAAGTCTTTAAGTTTAGCATAAGCTGCTGGACCAAATGGGTATATAGAGATTTTGTGAATACTTGGAGGAAAAAAATGATCAGTTTCGCTATTATATGGTCACTTTTATATTACATGATTATTGTTGATGCTGGTGTGATGTACATTAGAAGGATTAGCAGAAGTGAGCAGCTTCAACACATTTGTGATGCATTTTTATTTATTTTTTTAAACTCCTTTTGAGATATGAATATTGCTATTTAGTAATTACTGACTTGATAAATAGTTTGATACTTCGGGCTTCTTGTTTTTTTTTTTTTTTTAAAAAAAATTCTGTATAAGCTTGTCTTGGATTTGTAGATCCGAGTATCCGACATGTTATTGCAAATAATACCGTTGCAAAGGCATCATATATTATTGAATTCATATGAAATGATTCTCGTAAGTTGTAGATAGTGTATTCAAAAACTCCACCAAGTCTTTGTTTTTTTTCAAAAAAAAAAAAGAAATAGTAAAATTTTACATTAAAACATGTCCACGTAAAAGATTCAAGACGCTTACCACCGTAAATTCAGTATTTACCTTAATTAATTAATTAATGAAATCACAAATCAATCATTTCATATTAGTTTCTCCACAAGAAGCCTCACTTGTGCAACTGATCCACAGCAACAAAACCATACTAAGATTGCAAACTCCCTCTGTATCAGAGTATAGTACTCCATCTGTATCAAAAAGTCGACTCTTATTTTGACACGAAATAAATATTTTTTTTTCTTTTTTTTTTCCTGCTAGGTAATAATTGGCCTATAGATTGCAAACTCTGATTGATTGATATCTATAGACCCCGGCCTAATATTCAGCCCCAGAATTTTCTTCGTCCTTTTATTGATGTCTTTGTTTTTCAACGATTGTTACAAAACATTAATTCCTTCAGCACACCCCCAATGGCGTTTCTGCACATTTACTTTTTGCTGTAGGGGCATTGTTTGGGGGTAGAGGGCGTACTTAATTAGGAGGCCTTTGTAACTACTAAAATAAAACCAGTTTTCAATTAACTCCAATTTTTCATTTTACAATGATTTTGTTTTTTAAAGAAATACTAATGATTTCAAACAATTTCGTACTTTTTTTTTAAAAAAAAATAAGAAATAGAAAAATGGATTTCTTTAACTTTGCTTAAAGACTGTCCAACACCAACTAAGATACAAAGGTAAGAACGGAATAACGATAATCTCTTGTCTCTCTCGTTCAACATGTAATTTCTTTTTCTTTTTTTTTTTTATTAATTGATTAGTTTCTCACCCCATGGAATTATTTTGATTAATTAATAAGTAGTCAAACATATCATCTCACTCCATTTATTACCACTGTAAATTCAGACTTTAACTTCTTTAAACTATCATTTAATCACAAATCACTACAAAAAGCAACACACTTGTGCAACCGATACATAACAAGTCAACAACAATTTGTATAATCAATCCAAAACAATTAATCAATGGCAACAAATCGCCATTAAGGCATTAAATCCAAGTTTACAAAATGTTGAACAACTTCAACTTTAATAATTGTAACCGAAAATTTTTCCCAACCATAATAACTTTTTTCTTCATTTTTTTTTTTTTTTTGGTGATACATCTATTAGGTAGCCGTTACTACTACCACCCCACAAAAGAAAGGCCGCCAACCTTAATTTTGTAACAATTAGCCATGCATTTTCAAGCCACTTTGCTTAGGCTTTAGGACCACTTTCTTATCATCAACAGCCACCCGATTTAAGGAGGAGGCCGCCGGCGGCTCGCTGCCGGGATTCCCTCTATCACTTTCAATCTTCCAACGGCAACAACTCAGGCAAACCGAATCCGTCCCGCCATTTTTCGCGGCCGGATGATGAGCAAACCGTAACGCCGGCACCCGTTCTTGGAATTTCTTCAATGCTTGAAGTTCACTAAGTTCTTTCTTCAACCTCTTATTTTCTTCGGTCAACTCCTCACAATTTTTCTTCCATCGCTCGCAATCTGTCTCCGTTAGCTTCAGCTTAGTCCTTCATTATAATCATTTAATTTTAACTTTTAGTTTTTTGATCATGTGCTAGATAAAAATAATAAATTGAATAATGTAACGTTAAGTTCAAAAAGAATAAAAATAGTGTAATAAGTAGATTTAGATAATCTGACCTCGCACGTCGGTTTTGAAACCAAACCTCGACTTGTCTAGGCTTCAGATTCAACAACGTCGCAAGACTGTTTTTTTGTGCCTACAAAATTTTTTTAAAAAGCCTTTGCTAAATTAGTTAACCAAATTAAAAAAATGTGACTCGTAAAATTGGTGTTTATCTTGCTGATGATTAAGCAGTACATCATTTTAGGATAGAGGGAGCGTATGACTGATTAATTTAGAAAGACGAAATTAAACCTACTGTGTTAAGAGTTGTGTGTTCTTTGAAATTTTCCTCAAGAACAAAAGATTGCTCTCTTGAAAGCCGGAGTTTCTTTCTGGAACCACTGTTGTTGTTGTTGTTGTTGTGGTTGAGATGATCACCTTCTTCCTCGTTGCTAGAACTATATCTGCTCGATTCGCCGACAGCCCGGGAGCTAGAAGCTCCAAGACCAAAAGAGAGGTTCAGAGAAAGAGGATCATGGATGAGATGGTCCTCTTTGGTTGTTGATTTTGGTGAGGAATTGGCTGAACCAATTCCAAGGGCAAGTTTTGTGTTGCAAACTTCATCATAATCTTCCATATAAATATATGATGATGATTGATTTGCTATAAGAGAGGAAGATTTTGATGAAGAGAGAACAGATGATCTTCAACATTGGGATGAGGAAATGATGTGTTGAGGAAAGGGGGTTCATTTATAGTATGTGAGTGGGTGTTTTTTTCTCAACAAGAAAATTTAATCTTAGAGATTGTAGAAGATTAATTAAGTATTTTTTTGTTATGCAAGAGTGGTAACATATTAATAATGTATTTATGATGTAGTTATAGAAGATGCAAAATCAAAACTGCAATAATATGTTGGAGTAATTGCATGCATCGGTTATGAAAACAAGAGAGACTTCATCCCAGGGAACATAATATAGTCAAATCTCTCAGCATTAGTTCAAATATGCTTTTGACTTCTACGTGGATTAATTGTTCTTTCTTTCCTCATCCAAGTGGTACATTGTTTCAATTTATATCTGGAAATACGGCGAAGTTTGTCCCGTGATAACACATTTTCGAATATTTTCTTAATGTTGGGGTGATTGTAGTAATATATAGTCACGCCTGTAATTTTTCTTTTGGAATATAAAGACAAAATTCTCCCAAACTATGTTCTAGAGACTAATTCATCTCGATTTTTTTTTTTTTATAGAAAAAATTCTTGGTAAGGACGTTGTATTTTTTGTAATTCTTATTTAGGCTATAAATTTTTTAAAATTCCTAGAAAAGGCTTAATAATTTAATGAATAAAATATATTTTCTCTGACAATTCTACCCTTTTTTCCTCAAAACCCTTTATGCTTCCAAGTTCTTTATGCTCTAGTGAGCAACTCCTGCAGTTTCCAAGCCATCCAATTCCGCGGCAGACAACAAGTTTTCATCCTCAAACAAATTAAGAAAAATAAAAATGAACATCATCAAGCTCGCAACATCAACTTAGTTATCAATTAATCTTTTCCCCCCCACTATTACCAAGCATCTCCTAATCTAAATTCTTATTAAGATATTCAAATGTCAATAAATCCATATTTCAGTGGGTAAGAAATAGAGCGATTTGGCGATTTGAGCCTGGAAAGATTAATAATGGGGTTTAAGGCAATTCAAGAAAGTAGAAAAAAAAATTGAAGAAAAAAGCCTTCCGCCGGAGAGTATATCATTATATTTACTACTATTATAAAGCAAGAGACCCCAAATGAATAGTAGTTTCGTCTTTGTAACTACCACATACATTAGTGGGGGTATTTGTGTCATTTCAGCGTAAAGGCTAATCAACAATTTTTTTCATGAAATTTTTTAGACTTCTATGAAAAGTCCAGAATAAGAGACACCTAGTAATCAAATTTATTACCTTTCTTCTGAACAATTTAAATATGCATCATGGTTTAACGAATCTACTACCATTAAAGCAAGAGACCCCAAATGAATAGTAGTTTCATTGTTGGAACCACCACATACATCAGTGGGGGTATTTGTGTCATTTCAGCATAAAGCCTAATCAACAATTTTTTTTCATGAAATTTTTTAGATTTCCAGAAAAAGTCCAGAATAAGAGACACCTACTAATCAAATTTATTACCTTCCTTCTGAACAATTTAAATATGCATCATGGTTTAACGAAAAGAAGAAAAATATGCATCATGGTTTTTCTTTTCTTTTTTTTTTAATTTTAAATTTTAAATATTCGTCACATACTCACATTTCCCATGAAAAAATTTTAAAAAAGAATTTACTGTCCACGCTAAAGAAGGCATTGTGGGTGTACGAATTCCAAAATTTTTTTTTCTTGCTAACTACATCCGTTCCAAAATTATTGTTTAGTATGAATTTTTATTTTTAGCATAGATTGGACTAAAAGTGAAAAATTAAATCGAGCCATAGTTTTGAGCCGGAGAAATATTTTATTTAATTAAATTTCAAGGATTAATTTAATAACTTATCCACTTAATTAACCTCTCGGACTTTTGTTTTTTTCTAAAAAAAAACATTGAAAGTATCTCTTTTTACTAATTAGTCCGATTGTTTTTTGCATTCTACTTCAGATTGCAAAGTGCTAACAATATTTTCTTTCCCCTTTTTTAAATATTCTTAAGTTAGGATCAAACAAATTTTATCCCGAAATTTCAAAATTATGGGGATATATAACGAACAAAGCCCACGCGTTGTCGCATGGGCATGATAATCCTAGTTATATATTAAAGGAAAGAAAGATAATCGACACGTGTCGCTCATTGGAACCATCAAGTCTTAATTAACACGTGTCATTTGCTAATTGGTTGATTATTAATCAGTTAAAATTTTACGTAAACAGTTAATAAATTATTTACTACTCCTTTCGTCCCACTAAAAAAATCCAATTTAAAAAAAAATCTTTTCCTAAAAAAATAGTCCAGTTTAACAAAAGTCAAAATTTATTGAATTGAAATAACTTAAATATCCAAAAGAGTAGCGGTATGAAAAACAAGGTCCACTTCCTTTAATTTTCATTTTTTTTAGTTTTCTCTTATTTTTTCAAATGATTATATCTTTTAATACATGAATAATTAAAAAATGTGTTATATATCAAATTAATCTACGTAACGAGATCTTTCCATCAAGATCCATTATCAATATTTTTTGAGATAAAAATTTTGATCAAAAAAAGTTTTAAAATAAATACACATGTAGTTAACTTTTATAGAAATAACTAGAAGGTGCATTAGTGGAAGTTAGGAGAATGAAATGAGTTGTATATTTGGTGTGGAGACCAAATTAAAAAAGTTGTACAGTTTCAAACTGGACTATTTTTGTGGGACGGAGGGAGTATATAAGATTTTTACAGACATTACAAGTTCCTGATTGTGAGCTTGAAGATGACTATTTTTGAAAATTGCTAAGAAACTCCCGACTTCAAAGTCCTTTCATTTACGAGTTTAAACTTTCAAACTATTGTCATTTTGGCCCTTAAAGTTTCATTTATGTGCTATTTAGTTTTCAAGTTTATCGATTTTACATTTTCAAGGACGATTAATTGTGTCTCATATTTAGAACTACATCTAATCCTCAAAGTTTACTTGCCTATAAAAATAGGCCATATGCATCTAGACATAATTTACGTATTTGTTAAATATATTTTTTAAACCAAACATAACATTAGTTAGTGGTAACAATTTTTAATATACAACTTTTGAAAATATTTGTTGTAATATTTTTTACCAGATCTTACAAATATACCTCTCATAAATAATATCAATACCTCTCATTTTGATCTAAAACTGATTAATCAAAAAAATATTACAGTTTTAAGAAATATTAGTAATTACATTTTTTAAGAGAATAAGGACCGTATATTTGTAACTACATTATCTAATCAATTTTTTTGAAATATAAATTTTCAACATTGAAAAAGCCGTACAAAACGCGGGACACAGACTAGTATAAAAAACATGAAATGGTTTTTTCCGCTTGATTTTTCGTTTCAATTGGTCACACTTAAATGGAGATTACGAAGTTCTGTGAGATGATTCAACAGCTAGCTGCATATGTGGTTAAACTTATTACTGATTAATTTCTTAACAATATAATTTTTGGAGGGAGTCATTAAAGAATTCGCGTGCTGAAGTTGTTTCTTATCTCCCATGGATAACTATTGAAAGGAAGCAAACAAAAAAAAAATTGCCTTTATCACAAAAGGGTTAAAATGTCATCGAAATTATATTCAATGAATTAAAATAAATTTTATGACTTTAATAAGAATTTCAAAAGTCCTACGTCTTAATTAAGAATTATGAAAGATGCAACACCTTTAACAAAAAAATTTCCTTTCTTATCCTTATACTTAAATAAAAGGCACAGTAGACAACAAATAATACCCAAGAAATATTAAAGACCACCGTCAAAGCGATCTCGTCCGTCGGATGGGGTTGATATGACGTCAGCGACTTATTAGGGGTAAAAATGAGAATTCATAATTTCAGTTTTTCACTAATAATTAAAAGAAAATTTGACTTTGGGAAAAAAAAAGCCAGCTATAAAAAATAAAAATAAGAAGTAATAACGATGTCCTTTTCTCCGTCTTCCTTCCCAAACTGAAACTCCTACATATGGCAAAAATCCCTCCCCCCGTTGTTCTCAACCTCTGTGAATTTAAACCGATGGTCGATGCTTCTCTCCGCTCTCTTTTACTCTCTTCTCTTGAATTCGTCTTCCAGTTGATTCTACTTGCTCCTATCTTCGATCCAGAAGTACCCTCGAACAAGATTCGGAGCCAATTGCTTTGCGCCTTCAGAGATTTTGATTCTCAATCTTAAAATCAAGTTTGTTTCGATGTGCTATTTCTTCGCCTGGTTAATTGAATTGTTAATTGGTATTGAATTGGTGAACGATGTTTACCCTTTTTTTAATGAGTCCGGGTTCTTATGCATCTGTCGTGAGATTTTGATTTTCAATTTTGTTCCGATTTTTTGATTTTTTTCGCTTTATTGCGGTTTCTGCGAATACTTGAATCTGTAAGCGAATGAAGAAACAACCATGGCATCGAAATTTTGGACTCAGGTTAGTTTTTTTTCTGCTTCATCGTACTGTTTCCTTTCAAGAATTGAAGCCGTTGTGTGGTCTTTGGATTTGTGTTCTGATATTACGTTATCTGCTGAGCTTTCCAAGGCTCCGCTTCTGCGTTTTTTTGTTTCGTTTTCCTTCTGAATGCTCTTACTATTGTGAAAGTATGTGGCGGAGGTTTTATCTTTTTTGGTTCTCAAATCCTAATGTAGATAAGTTAGTTGTAGTTTAACTTTTGGGGTTTGTACAGAATGGTGAGAGTGAATTTGAGGAGGAGGAGAACTTAGAAGTAGAGAGATGAGTGAGGATGAAGTCCAAGTTGAGGAAACCGAGGCAGTATGCATTCGTAGAAGTATGTCCTGTCCTGGAGAAAGCCTCTTCCTTGTTTGTAATAACTATTCAACAAATCGGTTGATTCGGACTTGACGAATTCTAAGCATCAGGTCCTTCGCTGTCCTTTAAAGTCTCCTTGTTTTCCATCCATCCTTTTCAAACCCTAGCTGAAAAGGTCCAGATTACCCTATTTGAATTTTATTTTGTTTTGAATATTGGCTTCCTCAAATTT